CGATCTAACTCTTTTGTGGTTTCGTTTGTTCTTGTCTTGTTTTAATATTCTAAATATACGACATCTTATTGGTTACATAAATATAAAGAAAAAGACAATGATCAAAAAGATTATTATAGACCATTGAAGAACAACTAAAAGTTTTAAAAGTTTAAGTTGACAGGTTTCTTTTATCTCAAATTTGTTTTCTCACACGCATATGTCTACGTTTCGAGTTGAATTATAGAGAAAGCACGACCTTGGCAAATACCCAATTTTATCGAAAAATTAGTCTGAGATAAGGGTGAGAAAAAAAATGAAAATTGAATCAAAATTGTAATATTCGATTTGATTCGAATCGATTTTTTTTTATTTAATTCGGATCAAATTCGAATATTAAATGTATATATGAAATTTGGATGAAATTTTGAATGGGAATATGAAAAATAAAAAGAAGAATCGAATTATATATTTTTATTAATTTTTATACATATTTTAAATTTTTATAAAATAAAAATAATTATTTTATATATAAATATATTAAAATAATATATAAAAAATAAAAAAAATTTAAATTTAAAGATCGATGAACTGAACCAAATCGAACGAGTAAAATTTTGTTCGAATCACTTTCAAGGAATGTTAGTTTTGATTCGGATCAAATTTTAAAAATTTATAATATTATAAATTATTCAAAAAAATCAAACTAAATTCAATTCAAACCGATATCATTTCTACTTTAGAAAAGGAAAATTCTAGCTTAAAACCTAACATTTTCATTTAAAAATGCTGAAAGTAGCAATTATTTATGTTGTCAACGATTAAATTTTGATTATTGAAATTAAAAATAAAAATTCTCTGACAACAAATTTCATAAGTGATCGAAAATTGATTATTGGAACGATGAGTTGATCATAAATTGAGATCCTAATTCAAAGTTATGTAGCTTTCATATGTACATATCAAGTCTATTTGTAAGTTTGTGGCAAACCATTTTAAAAAAATTGGTGATAAATTTAAAGAGTAAAAAACTAATTCTATAGCTATACTTATTATCTCATATGACAAAGATGTTTTATTAAAAAAAAGATTAAAAAAAAACTAATTTAATAATTGCATTATATATATTGACCAATCAATAAGATGTTATAAATATTAAATCCTTTAATCAAGGGAAATTGATAAATAAAAATAATAATTCCTAAACTAGATTTTTACTGTGACCGTTTTAATGAGATATTTTACTTAAGTAAACAAGATCTAACCATAATTAGTCATGAAATAGCTAGGGCTATGCCTATTAGTGGGGAAAAAACTATGAGAGAAGTACCATAGAGTAGGCAAATTATTAACAAAAGCATAAAGTGATTAAATATGTGCAATGTATCAAATATATAAAAGACACGTGAATTGGACCAACAATGATGAGAACCACCATTTTTTTTTTCTTTTCCTAAATTATAGTATCTTTCTCTTTTCATTTTTATTATTCAAATAAATTGTCGATTAGAGAAATAAAAAACAAACAAAAGATAAATTCAAATTTTAAGTCAATTAATTGGCAAGCATGCTATTATAATGAGTAAATCTAATGATTCGTATATTTATGTCATATAAAATATTAAAATTTATGTATTTATATCATATTTTATATGAAAATTAAATGTCATAATTCGTGTCGACACAAAAATATTAAATTTAGATATAATAATTATTAAAATTTTAAATTATATTATTTTTATATTTAATATTTATATCGTATTCGTGTCATGTCATCATATGTGTTTTAAATGATCAAATCTAATAATTAGACCCTCTTGTGACATAAATTAAATTGGCTACAACAATAAAGCAAAATAATTTAATTATTTTCATATTCAACACTATATGCGGAGAAAAAGCAAGTTTATTAAAAAGAAACTGTCTTTCCTTTTATGAGGCATTGACAAAAAGAGACTATTGAAGGACAGGATGAGTAAGGAATCTAGAGGCACATCTCCATGAACATATTAAGTTGGCAATGAGCTTTCACTTGAGCTTTTTTATTTTAAAAAAAAAATTTCCCTCATCAACTTTCTTTTGTGTTGGCCTCAAATAGATATTGCAGTATAGTTGTGAAAAAGCTACTTTCCAGCAGAACTCAAGATTCTCTTGTCTCTCAATCCAATGCTTTTGTTATAGGCTCTTATTAAAATCACTTACTTTTTACCCTCTGACCCAAGATGCAAGGAACACAAAAACAAATTTTTTATAAAAAAACCCCTCAAATATTCCAAGCATTAATTGACCATTGGTTTTAAATGGTATACAAATATGAATGATTTTCTTGGATTCTTGAAGTACTATATTGCAGAAAAACCCAAAAATTAAAAAAAAAAAAAGTAAGGTGAGAGTCAAAATTTACGAGTGTTTATTCTATTAATTCAGTTAATTTTAAATCAAATTATATTATTTTATTTTTTTAAATTGAATTGAATTTATTAATTTTAAAAATTAATCAACCGAATTTAATTCGATCAATTTAATTAATTTTTTCAGTTAATCAAATAATAAATATATTTAAATTAAATTATATTTAAACTCTTAATTTCTCATATTTTAAATAAATTAAACAAAATTATTCAAAAAATATTCAAATATCAAAATATTATATTAAAAATTCTAACAACTTATTAAATAAAATGATTCATTTCATGTATTTTTCATTTTATGTTTGAATTTTTTTATATTTTGATTAAAATTTTAGTTATCGGTTTTCAAACCAAATTAATCGAAACTGAAATTTTTTTAAAATCATTTTCGTTAACCAATCAAAATTAATTTGGTGATCGATCGATTAACTGAATTAAATCAATTCGATCAATTAATTTGGTTAAAATCTAATTATGAATATCTCTATCAAAATCAAATGATCAAGCAATGTTTAGTTCAAACTCAAGAATGATTTGGATGAAATTCACTTTTATTTGAAAGTTTGAATAATTTATTATAATTTTTTTTTATTTCAAGTATCAATTTATACATTTTTTTATATAGATTATATGGTATTTATACGAGGAAATGTCGAAAAATTAACTATTAATTAAAAAAATTTGTTGCTAGCTGACCTTGAATGCAAAAAATGGTTTACATTCATGGAGCTACCTATCATTGTGGTAGATGATAAGTTGATGAGTAGTAGTAAAACTTTTCCATGGAGAACATACACCTCATAAACAAGTTACTTTGATTTGATGTTGCCAATCATTTGAATAACAAGAGCACAAAGTGAAAAAAGAGGCTTTAGTGATTATTCATAACCTTTTTTTTTTCTCATTTGAAATTTCCTAGAAAATTCATGTTCATCAATGGAAAAACAAGGTGTAGTGCATATGGTACATAATGCTGACAATAAAGATTAATAAAAAGTTGCAAAAAGAAATCTAAAGATCTCCCAAATGTCTACCAAATTCAAAAATCAAAAATCAAAATGTTGAGTTTGATTTGACAAAACAATAATAGTAACAACAAATCTTGGTTTTTTATGCCAATTTTTTTGGCTTTTTGGGTTAAATTCAAGAAAGCATGTGACATTGTTTCTTTTTTCAACTAATTTTTCTGGAAATTTTCTGCTTTTTTTTTTTTTTTTAATTTTAATTGCTTAAAGGAACTCGTTGAACAGATGGGAAAGTTTGATATCTTGTCAATTATTCATGGAGACAAAAGGAAAAGAGTGAATAATGAATTAAAGGAAAAAGGGGCTGCATCATGCATGGTCGGTGTGTAGCCCACCTTGCATTATTTGCTATGCCAAATTCTTTCAAATAACAATCATTTGAGGTATGATGACCTTTGCATTGGAGATGATTCATACCAAAATTATATGAAGCCGGTAAATATATAATCAAACCAATTTAAAAAATATTATTTGAACCACAAAACGAAAAAAAAAATCCTATACTCATTAAAATGGGATTTGATTGTGCAACTTGATTAAGCTTCTATTTTTTTTTCACAAAAGATATTGTAGTACGGTGATAAGAAAAAAGAATTGTCGATGCTAAAATTCGAACATCAAATTCATTAAACATTTTTTTAAAAAAAATTATATAAATTAATTAAATTAAATCTCGAGTTTTATTTAACCAAATATAATTTCAGGAATTTGATATTGGATAATGGTTGGACTAATTGCTTTTCTGGTTGGACAAATATATAGATGACCTCAAACCATCAGAGGGTCCTTTTTTCTTTTTTTTTTTTGGTGTCCTAAACTTCATTGGTTGGATTACTAGATGGAAGAAAATGGTCTTCGAACCTTTGCCTACTTCACTCCAATGGCAAGATGCATAGACATGGCCCTAGCTCATATATCTAGTGCCTAAAATTCAGTGAAATGCAAAGCGGTAAAATTGGTAGCGGCGAGATTCATAATAACAATGGATATTAGATGGTGCCTCCAATCTAAGTTCTAATTAAGAAAGGGGGTAAGGATGTGGCTTTAGAAACCTGGCAAACGTGGGTAATGATTCTAAGTCGAACATGCAAATTCAATTGATGGGCTGTAATGCATAAAGCTAGGGATAATATCGGGTAAGGTCTAAACAGGTTTTTGCTTCCTTCGATTCCAATCAAATTTTATAAAATTTATATTCTAACTTCGATTCTAATATTAAAATATAATTTTTTTTATATTTGATCCAATCTGATTTTGTAAATATAAAATTATATCTGATTTGACTCAAAATTAATTTAATAATTTTAATTTAATATAATATTTATAAAATATTATTTTTAATATAAATTACATTTTAATTATACATAAATATAATATTTTTATTAACTTAACATCTTAAATTAAAATATTAAATAATAATTTTATTAATATAATGTATATATATAAATATAAAATTAAATAAATAATAAAAAAATATTTTTTACATATACGGACTGGATGAATTTACTTAAAACTTGGCAAAAAAAAAAAAATCCAATCTAACCTAATCCAAAATTCAATTAAAAAAAAATCGTACTTATAAGATCGGATTAAATCAATCGGAATTAGATGGGTCCCAGTAGATTTGTCGCCCCTACATAAACTGTGGGAGAGCGCAAACAATAAGACTACCAAAAAATTTTGATTAACCATAGAGAAATAAAACTTCTAGTACTCGTATAAGGAAATCATATTGATCAGTCTATATTAGTTACACGAACATAATAAACTGAACAAACCAGAAATTTGATTAACATGAACCCCGGAAATAGCTTTCATAATCCATCAGTGAAGAACAAAAATACGATGGAACAGCTACATTGACAAGCTGTTAAAGAAGCATTCCATGATGTAAATGGGTGGTGCAGGAGACAAAAAGGAACAAAAATCTCATAAATTGTTCTCCTACTTGCAATATTGATGCATGCATTAATAGAGGATTACCTGCTACCTGACCGTTATCTGTTTACTGATGCAATTGTCAATCCTGAAATGGCTTCTAATCATAACAAGATGCTTCATTTTTCTGAAGGGGAGAAAAGTAGAAGAATAAAGGAAAATGGATCACTGCTCAACCCCTCCAATAATTTGTAGAATGCTGGTCTATACTATGGGCAAAGAAAAAATGTAAGCAAATTCCTCTCTACCCTGGAGGTTTGAGGCATCTACCAGACAATGGACCAGGCAAAATATCAGCAAATGAATACATCAGTTGTCCTTGATAAGAGCTTCATGATGTTGGCCAACCCTGAAGATTGGAAATAGCTAGTGGCCCACTTGAGGAGGTTTGTTCGTAATATCTTTGGAACAAATAAATGCACCATCTGTGCCTTTTCCTTCCTTGGCATCCACAGTTTTACTGCCAGCACTCCCACGCTTTGCTGTTGCTTTGACTCTAGTGCGTGCCTTTCGGGAAGGACTTGAAAATTGGATTGCTTGTGCTTGCACATCTCTAACTTTTTGTGTACTCTTCATGTTGAAAAACCCACTCTCAAGAGCTTCCAACACTCTAGTGGTCAGTGGTCTGCTTCTTTTGCTTTGCCTCCGGGGGTTCATGATAGGTTGCTGCTCTTCAGAACAAACATTAGTAGTGATTTTCAACAAATCAGTATAATTATTCAGGCTGCCATCAGCTTCAACCATTCCTGGTTCACCATTCTCAGCGTCCAGAGGAAGCAGGGGTGGATTTGAACCAATTGAAGACAGGGATGGAAGCTTCTCACTACCCACTTGAGGAGTCTCCATGGATTCTGGATTGCCTTCGACTACAGAATTAATAGATGATACTTTCTCTTGAAATTGACTCACATGGGGAACATCATTGCTGCCTTCGTCTTGAGATTTTAAAGCACAGCATAGCTCTGTTTGTTCACTAATTTCAGCAGAAAACTTCTCAGCGAGGCAACTTTCCTCTATCTTAGCACAAGCATCTAATCTCTGTCTCTTTGTAGGAGAAACTAAATTAATTGGATTACTAGAGCTATTCTCAGTAAGGTGACTTCTCTCTGTCTTAGCACAAGCAGTTAATCTTTGACGTTTCGTTGGAGAAGCTAAACTAATTGATAGAGAAGCAAAATCCCCAGTAAAGTGGCTTGTCTCTGTATTAACACAAGCAGTTAATTTCTTTCGTTTTGCCTGGGGAACTAAACTAACAGAATGACTAGATTTAGCTCTTCGAATGAAATGGTGCTTTATTGTCCTCTTTGACCTGTTATCTTCTGATGTATTGGCCTGGGGAACTAAACTAACAGAATGACTAGATTTAGCTCTTCGACTGAAATGGTGCTTTATTATCCTCTTTGACCTGGTATCTTCTGATGAATTGGTCTTCTCATCCTGTTGAATCAACAAATCCTGGTCTCCAATAAATGAGTTCTTTGGATTTTGATTTGAACTGTCATTATCATATTTACCCTCACTGTGGTTCTTGTCACCATTCAACAAATTATCAGCATTAACTGGCTCACTACTAGGTTTTGTATCAGTGGCAACTGAACCATGACATGATAGTCCATCAGTAATTTTTTGCTCATGCTCATCTAGAGAATCATCACTTGAGTTATCATCATTCCCTCCTGAACAATTATTAATTTCAGAAGAAATTTCAAACTTAACCGGTAAACATCTGAGTTCTCTCACTTGGCATGATTTTCCTCCATGGAGCAAACTGGTGTCCACAATGGTGAATTTAACGTGGCGTGCAGTCGAGCAAGCGATTATGCCCTCACAATGGCGAGCATTACTAACACACTTGTCACCTTTTGACAGCATATGATTAGCATTTACCTGCCGTGAATCTTGAGTGTTCTTCTGCATTGGTTTGGAAGTCAACATCAAATCAATTGGTGAATATCTCAGTTCTCTCATCTTGGATGCTTTTCCTCCATGGACCAAACTGGAATCAACAACTGTGAACTTCATATGGTTTGAACTGAGAATAGAGACTCGGGGCTTGAGATAATGGGGCTTATGATTGGGAGGATCATCCTGATCTGATGACTCTCCTGGAATACACCCATTTTCTTCATTGCAGCTCCTAATACCATTTCCTTCAGCATCAAGCTCAATAAGTGTTGGTTCAGATGCGACTTTGCTCAAAACATCACTAACAGAATCAAAGTAGTGGTTTCCTTTAACAAGTTTTCTTCTTGAGAACTTCTTTACTCCAGGCATAAGAAAAACTAGGTGATGTTTGGAACTGACAGAGCACTGATTCTTGGGTTGCTCAGAATGCCACCCTCTGGCAAGCAGACGTGGCCAAACAGCTTCCCAGAAAATATCATTACATCGAGCTTTGCTCAATCGAAAGCCTCCAGTTAAAAATCTGATGATGTCACCAGATGTAAGCGATGAACAAGCCTTCCCAGATGGTAGTTCAGGGGAAACTTGTGTGGTCCTTGGAGGCTCCATGGCCAGGCCTGTAAGATCTGCCTTCCCCTTACCGATACCTACAGCTTCGACAAGAGCACATATGCCAACAGTAGTCTTCAAATGGCAGACATAATTTTCAAGAGAAGTTCTCCCCTCCACAAATGACTTCGAGACCTGCTAATAGATGATGAATTAGAAGGTAGGACATAAAAGTTCTTTCAAGCACGGGAAATACATCTACAAGAGTAATGATTGTACAGCCTTAGTTTACAACATGATCAAAATAATTTTCAGTAACTAACCAGAAGATTATACTTATGTTCATAGCCTTACGATTATTTATCAAAGTCAACAGAAGGACCATGCAAGACAATTATCAAGCAAAGTTGTAAGCATTTATGTTTTAATAATTACCAGTTGAGGAGATGCAGTAACAAATTACATGCACGGATATTACAATGAATAACGGTTCGTGCACAGAACCATGAAACCCTCCTAATTCAGATTCAAGGGACTTGAAAAGTGAAAACACTTTTCAAAAGTGTACCCTAGAATCCACAATGGAGTGAAACATATGCCAATTTGCTTAGCCTTTGAGGGTAGTTCTGAAGGAATGGATCTTATATCCCCAGCAAAACATATTGAAATGTTAACTTTTAAAAAACTGATTTCTCACATCAATAAACAGAAAAGCACAATAGCACCAACTAAGATATGTTAAACTGGACCTTTCTTCTTCAACATGCTGCTAACAAACAGTTGAATCCGTGTGAGAAATAAAAAAGAACATGTGAGCTTCTAAATGAAATATGCAGTAAATTGGGTTTACCTCCAGCAAATTATTTTGTAATTCATCTGGGACATGGCTAAGCAAACGAGATAACAATTCCTGTTGCCTCCAGCCAGTAAAGATTTTCCGTCCGTGTATATTTTTTCGATTTCTTCTCTTTTGGCCATCTGACCATCTGTGGTATCCATCAGACATATAAAATGCCCCATAGTAAAATGACAATACATCCCCCATCTCCTTGTTTTCAATGAACCGTTTTATCTGCCCAAAATCCTTCCCAAATATATACAAACCAAGAAGAAAACCATCCACTTCTGCATTACTCCAGGAATCACCTGATGAACCGGGAATTAGATGAGAGCTTTTACCCTTACATGGTTGAAATAAGTTAGTTTTACTTGCCATTCCACATTCAATGTTCTCTGCATTTGATTCTTTCTCATTGACCAACCTAGCATCTGACTGTTCAGCACTTAGTTCTGAATGTTTCTTCCTCTTAGAATTCAGGCCCTTTCTGCACTTTCTGGATTTGACAGACTCATCCACCTTAGTTCCAGCATCAGGATTACTTGGACCTACCTTGCCTTCATCCTCTAAATCAATATCTTGTTCATAGGTCCACATGACAGGGACGGGTAAGCCTAACAGAAAGGAATGGGCAAGATAAGGAATGTCTTCTGAGTCAACAGGGTCCATCAAAAGCCGAAGATGCTCAGATCCTGTTATCATGGGAGGAATTTCCACCTGGTATTTATTGCCAACTCTTGGACTTAATTGTGGATCACCAAATATATCACTTATATCGGGAGAATCGGGGGGAAGCAACAGCTTGGGAGATGTTTCTTCATTGAGGTTGTAGTTAGGATCCAACTGAACTGTTTCCATCTGCGAAAAGAATTTGACTTAGGAAATAAGAGTGCAGTAAACTCAACAAAAACAGCTAAAGATATGACATATGAGCACACATTATCCAGGAACATATTATGTGCTCAAGTACAGATCACCAAATCTCAGACTCATTAAAAATCTCTGAAAACCTTAAACCTTGAGATAGAGAAACTGGCACCTTAGATCAGTAATCAGGTTTAAAAATGAAAGAACATCTCTTGAAGAAGGTGAAATTTAGTGAATTTAATCAAAACATTAAAGGATGGCCATTAAAAATTGCCAACAGAGACAAAATATTTGAGAAACAATCCAAACAAAGGGATGCAAAGCCGATATATCATTTTCACTCCCGGATGAAATATTAAAGCAATAGAATGCCAACGACCAAAACAGAGATCCTTAGGGATTCAAGCAGCATAAAGATTATCTTGGGGGAAAAAGAAACTTCTAAAACTGAAAACCTAATGGCAATTTAGTTATCCAATCCAATTGGAGGAAATGCTCAATCTATTATCACAAACATCTTGTTGAAAGAGCATAGCATCAGATGACACAAGGACAAACTGTTAATTAAAACCCCATTAATTATCTTTTCCTGAAAGATAAATTCCGGTCTCTTCATTCATATATTGCACATGAACTTACATGAAGTGATCACCCGACAAAATGCACATATCGGAAACATAAACAGAAACCTAAAGAAACGCACACTAAAGAAACATATAAAAATGAAGATAGCATCAAAGAACAGCAGCTGAGAACAAGATCACCAACCCCAGATTTTCTTTTCATACAAACGAAACAATTCACCATTCAAAGCTGAATAAAAAACATTGGAAAGTCGAAATTCCAAAAACAAAATGACAGACAATTAAAAGAAACCAAACAAGTGATACAAAAGAATACATGTACATAGGAAAAAAAGAATTCAAAACCAACACAAAAATCACAGTCAAAACGATGACAACCAAAGAAAATAGAAGTAACCCATGATTACAAGTAAAATTCTGATGTGATCCTATCTATAATAAGATTAACTTGGTTTTAAAAGGAACAAAGAAGAAGAAAACACAAAAAAGAAACGACATTGAAGAACATAAAAAAGAGTGTCGGAAAGAGAATAGATAAGAAAAGAAGGGAGATTGAAACAGTAAACTTCACCTTCTCCAGGGAAGAAGAAAAGCTTTGAAACGTCAAACGTAAACGTGAAAGAAGGGACCTGGGAAAATGGGTAGTTATGTTATGCATTGATTCATAGCTATTTCTAATCAAAATACACATCTCTCTCAAAGTGAAAAACATGTCAAAAAGAAAACAAACATAAAACAAGAAAACCAAACAAAAAACAAGTGGTTGGTCCTTCAGCTTTGCCACTAAAATCTCCAAAAAAAGAAGAAAAATAGATTGAAGAGGTGACGATGGTACCTGGGTCGAAGAGAGATTAGCCCTTTTGTTTTACATGTAGAAGAGACCAACCCGAGAAGTGTATGTATAGTGTGGTCGTGTAGAAAGCGAGTGAGGGAGGGAGAGAAAAGTGTCGTTTGTCTTCACAAAGCTTTTATTAGTGAGAGAGATTAAAAGAAAACAATATGTAGGGGTGGAAAAAAAATAAAAAAAATTAAATATTCATTTGAAAATATAATATTTGATTATTGATTTTTTTAATTTTATTTAAATTAAATTTAGATATTAAATGTATATTTTAAGTTTGAAATAGGATGTAAAAATTAAAAAATTGAATTGAATTATATGTTTTTATTAATTTTTATATATTTTTTAAAATTTTTATAAAATAAAAAATATTATATATATAAAATTATTTAAATATATTTAAAATCCTACTAAAATAATCTAGAAAAATAAAATTTTAAAATTATTTAATCGAATTAAATTAAATTGATAAAATTCGATTTTTATTGAATCGATTTCAAGATAAAATTAGTTCGTATTCAAATTAAATTTTAAATATTTATAATACTATACATTATTTAAAAAAATAAATCAAATTCGATTAAAACCGTTATCACCCCTAACAATAAAAAAAAAAGATTAATTTTTAGTATTTTTTTATTATTCTATAAAGATTTATAATAAAAATTTAGATGTTCAAAGCTTAATATTAATATGTTTGGTTGTGTAAATGTATGAAAATAGATTCTTGTTAGATAAAAATAGTTTTATATATTTGTTGTTTTAGTGGAAAAGACTCAATAACGCTCACCCAAACGCTGCTTTATTCCTTGGGATTTTGACAAAATTGCTGATTATGAATATTTACTGCTTCTAAGTATATTTATTACTTAAAAAGAAAGGAAATTATTCATTAATGCTACGTAATTAGTTTTGTAATGGCACTTTACCTTTTAGAAAAAATGAAATACCCTTGAGTTGCAGTTTGCAAAAATCTTTGTCAGTGAACTGTTATGTTGGTAAGTTAAGGGTTAACTAAAGAAAAAATGTTCTTTATATTCTCAAATTGGAGGGATTTTTTTTTAATTTTATTAGGGTAGGTCCTATGGAAATTTGAGCTTTTAAGGTTGGTTAAAGAATTGTGGGTCTGCGTTGAACTTAGGGTTTTTTATTATTACTTTAAATAGTTATAATTTAAATTCTAATTATTAAAATTAAAATTTAACATTATCATTTGCACACTTCGAAGGTTGCACATGATAATTTAAAACACGATAATACAATATAAAAATAATATAAATAAAAAATAAAAAATAACATGATTTAAAATTTTAACTAAATTTATAAATAAATTAACAAAATCAAAAAAATATATTTTATATTTTTATATCACTACAAATTATGACATATAATTTTCGTATAAAATATAATATAAATATATAAATTATTAATATTTTTACGAAAAAATACATGAATTATCATGTATATTTGAGGGAAAAATGAAAATTAGTATTATAAATGGAAATGGTTAAAAAATTGATAATTGTGCTCATTTTCAATGAAATTAGGATGATTATTCAATATTTTAAAAAAATAAAACCAAGGTTTATTAATTTTTGATGAATATAACATCTGCATAAATTAAGCACATATTGTAAAAATTACTTGACTTGAAATCAGATTTCTGGTTGACTAAGCTTTACAAACTAGAATAAGAATCTTTGAATTTTCCAGGCTTTGTCAATGAAGTAAAATTTCTATATGATTATCGCCCATTAACTCGATTCCATGAGCTTTTGTACCAAAGTAGAATAAACCTGAGTTAAAAAATCCAGCCAGACTCAGTTTTTTTTATTGTCATTAGGAGCAAAGAGCAATGACACCATGAATATATCACATTCCACACAAGCATGGAGTTGTTCTGGGATGCATCACTCCCATTCAATTGTTGATGGCGGCTTTGATGTAATATCTTGAACAACATGATTGACACCGCGAACGCTGTTGCAAATTTTTTGAGCAACATCATCGAGGAAGTTGTTTTCAAACTTGTACCTGGAATCCAAAATTGAACGAGATGGAACTTCAGGATTTTGCAGTTAAGAGAGGGAGAGGAAAGGGAGTCAAAAGATTTAATTCATTGGTGTTTAGCCATCCAACCATAGTCAACAGGGAAAAGGAAGATGTGATATTCCTAAAAATCAAGAAACTTTTGACATGCAACAAAGATTCTTCCAACATCTAATGCCTAAGAACATAGGATGTTGTCCCATTTTAGGCAGCCTCCCACTAAAATTTGAGTTGAATTTGGTATACATTAGACTTAACCTGCCTCTGGTACAGCCAGCCAGGAAAACCATATCATTCACCCCTACCTACCCATTTCAGCAAAAATTAACCCTTCTTGAAAATAGCTAGATCATGTGTAACTCAGCCCAACCTCAGAGACACATTTGAGCTTATGCTTGTTAAATATACTGTTGGTTTAGCCTGAGCATGTAAATATTGCAACAACCATAGACAGCAAAGCAATGTAGAACAAGGAAAACTTACCAATCTGCTATCATTCCGTCTTCACTTGTAACAGCTCGGAGAGCAACAACATGAGAATGTGTTCTTTGATCACCTTGAATTCCAACAGATTTTACAGGCAAAAGTACAACAAAAGCTTGCCAAATTGAGTCATAAATACCAGCATCTTTGATTGACTGAATGAAAATTTCATCAACCTGGGGAAAACAAGTCCATGAGGAAAAAACATGCTAAAAGATAACATATCATAAACAAGGTTGCACTTCCTTATTCAAACACCTCATACCTGATGGAGAACATCTAAAGCATTGCCTTCAGTTACATCGCCTAAGATTCATACAGCAAGGCCAGGCCCAGGAAATGGGTGGCACTTTAAAAATGGCTCAGGAACACTCAATATCCTTCCAAGTTCGCGAACCTTTATAAATTAGAAAAAAAAAAAGGAAAATAATTCAAATGAGGGAAAAGCGGCTATAGAAGTAAATGACACCAAATCATCTAGCAATGGAACAGGATCAAAACCTCATCCTTGAATAGAAGTTTAAGTGGTTCAATGAGCTTTGACTTCATGTCTTTGGGAAGCCCTCCAACATTATGATGACTTTTTATTGCTTGAGAATGAGTTCTTCCTGTTCCTGGTGGAGGACAAGACTCAATCACATCTGGATACAAGGCTCCATGAATCAAAAATGCAAGTTTCTTTCCTAATTTATGCTCCACTTCTTGTGCAAACGCATCAAAACTACAAATAAATTCTTTTCCAATTATCTTCCTTTTCATCTCAGGATCTACCACTCCTTTTAGCTTACTTGTAAATTGATCGGTTGCATCAATACAAGTAACAAGTAGATGTAAATCCCTTTCAAAGGATTCCATAAAACGTTCTCTTTCCTTGTATCTAAAGGATTAACAATTAACAAGTGTACAAGCAATGAATTATAAAAATCAATCTGAAAAAAAGGAAGAAAAACGTTTGCTTTCTCACCTCAATAAACCATTGTCAACAAAAACACAGTGAAGTCTATCTCCAATTGCCTTGTGAACTAGGGTTGCAGCAACTGTGGAATCCACACCACCGCATAAAGCACAAATAACATGATCATCAGGCCCCACCATGTTACCGACCACCTTAATTTCTTCATCCATTACCTCTTCCATTTTCCAATCAGCATTCACTCCACAAACATCAATCAAGAAATATCTCAAAGTTTCAATCCCTTCTGGCGAATGTGTAACCTAAATAACCACAAATCAACACCATTATTCAACTGCTTCAAAAGAACCAAAATTACAGGTCCACAATAGCCAGTCACCCTCGGATTTAAAATGCAGTTGTGGTCAGGTTTTCAATTAAGTCACATTTATTGTGATTGCGGACATAATAGATAAGATTGCTGTAATTGCGTTCATCATGGTTATGAATTTATGAAAATTTTCTCAATGAAGCAAAAGAATAGTTTGATATAATAATATTTATTTATGATATTTAAAATAATTTACGAGATTTTAACCTTACATTTATAGGCTAAAATATTTTTTCACATATTTTAGTTATAATTCAGAATCAATGTGCCATAAAATTCATAGATATATTAAAGAAAAGCACAAATAATGGTTTTTAACATTCCATTATGGCCGTAATTTTCCGTTATATAGCTATTTACGAACATGATACACATGATATACCGCTATGTGTGAATAAAAATGGTGGCAGAGAGCGACGCTTCTGCTAAATAGCGTCCGCAACATCATTTAAATCCATGCTGTCCCTCACAATCTAGAAGAAGAAAATTTCTTAAAACCAAACTCACAATAAAATTTAGGTCCCATTCTTTGTGTTATTTTCATGATGAAAAATAATTTATAATATTCTTCAAACAAAACAATCAAACAGACCTTAATAAACACAAAATAAAATCCAAAATTCAACAACAGGAACAAAGAGAACAGAACCTAGAAGCTCAAATTACCTCAGGATGATACTGCAACCCATAAAACCTTCCCTCCTTATCCTCGACCGCGGCCACAGGCCCCTGCTGACTCCTAGCCACCACTTCAAACCCATTAGGCAGCCTAGCAGCCTCATCTCCATGACTCATCCAAACAACGTGCCTGTCCCCAACCCTCTTCCCGCCAAAAATACCACAACTTCGCTCAACCTCAATCTCCATCGTCCCATACTCCTGCTTCTCCCCAACCCAAACTTCACCACCAAGTCTCTAAACAAGCAACTGAAGCCCGTAAAAGATACCCAGAACAAAAACCCGTTGGACTGGGCCCACTCAACAAAGCCATCAGCAAACGAAGGTGAATCACCGTAATGGACTGAGTGGGGTCCGCCAGAAAGGATAACAACCTTCGGGTTGAGCAATGTGACGGAGGAGAGAGGGTAAGTACCTGAGATGCAGAGTGAGAAGACTGAGAGAGAGCGGGTACGGCGAGTGATGAGATGGGTGTATTGGGAACCGAAGTCTAAGATCAGGACTAAGTCGGATTTTACTGCTTTTGCCTTCATTCTTTTTTACCATGTAAAAGTTTTAAGATTTTGAAAGCAATATAGGAAGAAAAATGACGCGATTGAATTCACGTCATTTTTAATTATTTATTATATATATATATATATATATATATATATATAAAAGATAAACGGTGTACACTTTATTTTTTTTTTTCATATTTTAATTTTTTTAAATTATTTATAAGTGAAATTATTTAATTATTTTATTCATAATTTTTTAAAAATAAATTTTTGTTATAAATCTTTCTAACAATAAATCTTCGAAAAATCATATATGTTTTTTAAATTTAACTTTTCAAAAATTTATTTTCAAAAAAATTTATAATCCTTTAAAAATCTATTTTCAAAAATTTATTTTCGAAAAGATTTATAACTTTTTGAAAAATTAATTTTAAAATTGGGTGAAAAATAGATAATTAAATAATTTTATTTATAAAAAATTTTGATATAAAAATTAAGGTGTAAAAAGAAAAAACTGGGTACATTTAATAGCATTCATATAATATATATATTTAAAATTTTTAATTTACTTTTAAACCTTTATCCTAATATTTAAATAAATAAAAAATATTATGTAAATAAACTCCTTAATTCGTAATTTTTAATTACCAACTTTGATAACATGTAATTCAAAGAATAATCGACTATATAATATATTATCTATATATGAAATTTAGTTAACTATTTTTGTTTTTATTAAAGATTTGGTTTTCAAAGTCAAATTCAACTAAATTTTAACCATCCAAATATTAATATTCAAGAACACTTTCAAATTCTTTTGATTTTTTTAATAAATATCCTTTTATCTTAAAATTTTATAACAGATTTAGTTAATACTGATTCACTTTTAAAAAAAAAAAATTAATAGAGTTATTAACTTGTTCACTAAGAATATTTTTCTTTTAAATTTATAATTTAAAAAATATTTTTATTCATCAATCAATGCCAAACCAATCACAAAAATATTTTTAAAAATATTTTTTATTTATATTTTTTAAAAATTTGAGTCCATATAAATATTTATGTTTAGAGCACTATCAAGACACAAACAAAACTCAGAGAATAAGCTGGAATATCCTGTCAACCGTACTAAATCAATTGACAAACTATGTTATAGTATCATTGCCTGCAAAAAAAACCGTCACTTACCGTCCCATTAAAGTTGAGCAGAAATCGATTTAAATTAATTTAATTGATTAAAATCGATTAAAAATAATTTTTTTTAGATCGATCGAAATTAATTAAATTGATTAATTTTTTATTTTTAAAATTATAATCAAATCAATTAAATTAATTGATTTTTTAATAAATAAAAAAAAATAAGTATTTTTATTTATTTATTTTTTATAAAATATTATTAAAATGATTAAATTTTTTAATAATTTAATTTGAATAATATTTAAATTTAAATTTTATTAGATTAATTTTATAATTAAATAATTATTTATAATATAATAAAAAAATAAAAATTTTGATTATTTAACTTGATCGGATTAAATTAATTTTAATCAATTAAATTATGATTAATAATTTAAATTTTTTTTTAAAATTCAATTATTAGTTGAATGAAAATCGATTAATTCGGTGAAACATCTTTTGTGATACAAACATTTGCAGTGCTAAATTGATCGCCGTGAGACATTGGGCTCCAGGCATTATTATTTGCTTTTGCACCATAAAGCATACCTCTGTATTCCACAACTATCAAGGGAAAGGATCAAAGATATAGTTTAAGATACTTCTTCGAAGTTTAATGAACTAAGCTGTTGGAGCTGATCGATTGTTTTCATCTTTTCTTTTTTCAAGCAATAATGCCATCTTCTTCTCTGAGTCAACGCTTGAGCATTATTTTAATGCTAATTCTGGGAATTGACTATTAAATTATATCAACTAAACTATTGATTTTCTGCAGCAGCTGCTCATGTTAACGAGATTCGAGCTTTTTATTCCTTTTATAATAGTTTAAAATGGATAGCTAGCCTCTTGGTTGAAAGCAATGTACCAATTATCCGCTACAGTAGGTCTTTTATTAGTGAAGTATTTAGCTTAAGTTTCAAGATTTTCCAGCTCTCAAGATCAAGTCAGGCAATTCTAAAAGCCTGGATTGAGATCTGTTTTAGAGCAAATTTTGGGTGGTTTTGGAGTGTCCATGTGAGAGAGTATTCATGGTGTTTTGGTAATCATTGAATTTGCAAAGGGAGATCTCAGACTTATGCTATTGCTACCATATTCTTATCAGGTATGTTTTTATCAGAATGTTATATGTTGTTTCAGTATCAGCTTCATTATTTATTTTCTTGTTTGGTGAGAAAATGGGGGGAAAACTTGAAAGAAAGAAAGAAAACTAGAAATTTTGATTGTTATACTTGTAGTGTTAGGCTATGTTTAAGGGTCTCCAATTAAATGGAGAAAATTCAACAGCACACAAATTTTCCCTTCTATTTACTAGGCGTTGATTCTAAAGGTTTGCTGATTTTGTCATGTTTTGAGATTTAATTAGGTTGAAAACTGAAGAAACTAGAGAAAGCTTGTGAATGCAAAAGAAGATGAGGAGATCATGCTTTTCAAGATGTGGATTTGCAAGAATAATGGGTTGGCTTCAGACTGTACTGGGAATCCTTGTTATAGTTGTAAGTATATCGAGTCTCTTCAGGTTTTACTCTGCTGGATTTTTTGCGCACAATGAAGACATATGCCGCCATTTTTATGGCATCAAGGATGTTTATGAAGGCTTCGATATAAGAACCCTAAACGATCGGGTTGCAGAAGTAATAACAATGATGGAAAACCTGCAAGAAAAGCTAGAAATGACTCTACAACAGATGGAGAAGAACAAAGAAGTTTTGGAAAAGACTAATATCACAAGATTGGAGTATAGGAAGTATTTGGAGGTGGAAGTTCTTAAACCTCTTTATAGTGCTCATATTGCTCTTAGACAGGTCCGGCTGCCCAAGATTGATGCCATTGGAAACGGTACAATGAAAGAGGAGCCTTTGATTAATGCATTTATAACAGAAGAAATTCGGAAGTATGTAACCCCCAAAGAGAACAGAATTGGGAAGGTTAATTTTTATGGAACTGAGAAGATATACAATACCATAGGGCATGCGTGTGTCTTGATGAAGAATGAACTGCAAGAGTACATGGACTATGATATAGGATCGTACTGTAAAGACGATTGGAATCTAGCTCAGAAGCTTATGGTTCATGGTTGCGATCCCCTGCCTCGAAGGCGGTGCTTGACAAGGGCTTCCAAGGTGTATCAGAAGCCATATCCTATCAATGAGTCTCTGTGGAAGTTGCCTGACGATAGAAACTTGAGGTGGGGTAATTACCAGTGTAGGAATTTTGGATGCTTATCAAGCAGGAATTCCAAGCGAGGTTATACAAAGTGTACAGGATGTTTTGAGATGGAAAAGGAGAAGCTTAAGTGGGTAACTAACAGCTCACTTCCTGTTGATTTCTTGATTGCAGATGTCCTGGCAATGAAGCCAGGCCAGATAAGGATTGGTCTAGACTATGGTGTTGGCACTGGGACTTTTGCTGCAAGGATGAGAGAACTGAATGTAACAATTGTCTCAACTGCTTTGAATCTCGGGGCTCCTTTCAATGAGTTTATTGCACTTAGAGGATTAATTCCTTTGTATGCAACACTGAATCAACGTCTTCCATTCTTTGATAACACATTGGACTTGATTCATACAACCGGGTTCTTGGATGGCTGGATTGACCTCTTGTTGATGGATTTCATCCTTTTTGATTGGGACAGGATTCTAAGGCCAGGAGGATTGTTGTGGATTGACAGGTTCTTCTGTAACAAAAGCGACCTGGATGACTACATGTATATGTTTCTGCAGTTCAGGTACAAGAAATACAAGTGGGTTCTTGCTCCAAAATCAAAAGATGAAATCTACCTTTCTGCAGTGTTAGAGAAACCTCCTCGAGCTATTTGATCAATATCTGTTTCATTTGTTTCCCTGTAGAGTACGGCTTGTACTAGAAAAGATATAGTATCCACTTAAAATATGATCATGAATCTTTGTTTTACAAACCGACATGTGTTGGGATATGATTCACATGTAAAAAAAAAATCTTACATCATCAAAAAATTTGAACGAGAAGTTTTATATATATATAAAAGATTCAAAAATCTAATAATTTAAATTTTTAAGTTCAAGCGATATTTAATATATATGTATAAACTCTTTGGTGTGTTCTTATGAACTCAAAGTATGATTTATCTCTCTGTTTTACTTATACTTCCAATATTGAAAGGCCAACTCAAATGATGAAAAGAACCGAAAGTGTTTGCCCGTCTCTTTGTTCAGAGCCTGAACCTGTCAAGGTTCTTGGATGCACTCTGATTGCCTGTCAACCCTGCTTCTTGAGGTCTGGAACGCTAGTCTCCTCAGCCCTGGTTTAGTTTATATTGCTTATCACATCAAAGTTCATATCAAGGTTAAGCATTGCTGCTCGAGTTTTAACTGAAAAATGCTGCTGATGGGTGGGTAAGTCGCCTATATTTTGGTAAACTTAGGCTCGAGCTCCTTTTCCAGGCTCTCTCATTCTTGCCAGAAGGACCTCAATTCACAACCCAAAGAAGGCGGAAAAGGTATGAATGTCAAATCTCAAATGGACCTCAATTCTTCACTTGGTATCTAGCACTAGCCCTTTTTTTTCTAAAACATCCAACAAACGCCTTGGGTCTTTGAGCTTGACTTCGACCACAAGGCACTACTTGGTCCATTCCATTTGTATTTTGGATTGATTATTGGCCAACATGCAGAATGTAAGGCCATTATAAATGTGGGAAAATCTTCACTTTGGATTAGTACTTTAAGGAGCTGCAATTCATGGGCCTTATGGAGAAGAGAGGGTCTTAGCCCATTACCCTCAACACCAATTCACTCTAACTAAAAGAGGCTTTAAAGGTCCATGCCTTTGAAGTTTGAAGGTCAATTGAGCTGTCCAGTCACTCTTATGGTTCGTATTCACTCGGGCCATGTTAATGATTAAAGAATGTAGACCTTAGGTACATACTAGTGTCACGTCTTGAGTGAGCGCACCAGACACATTAGATGCACCAACACGTGCACACGAGGTTGAAGCCCGAGCATCAAGAGCACTGGCAGAGGTTTACGCGCAAGGCCTTGGAGAGCAGGTCAGATCGCCCATGCAAGCCAACCCGCACGGCCAAGGCTTGGCCCACATGATGTCGACAGCACATCTAGAAAGGCCCAAAAAGGGAGATGCGCAAGAAGATCTTCTAAAAACTCATAGGATCAGCAGAAATCTTTTGATAAATATGGTTGATCTTAAAATTTAGGAAGTAGGATCTTGATTGAATGTAATTTATAATTTTTGATTGATTGTACTTCTTTGATTTTAGGGATTTAGCCATAAGTGTAACTGAGAGCGTCAACTATAAATAGAAGGCTGTTTCACCCTTTTTTGTATACAACATCATACACTTCTGTTTCAGTAATACAATAACATATTTGAGCAAACTTTCTTATTTTGTTGTTTCTCTCTAACTTGTGCATTTTGCCCTTTTCATTGTTTTAGTGCCTGCACGCTTGTGTTTTAGATTGACTTAGGCTAGAAGGAAGTGATTTCAAGCTTAAGATCGCACGAATTCTGAGTCTGAGGTCGGAGCTTGTGACAATTGGTATCAAAACTATTTCTAAACCGTTTGATTCACGCCAAGCATCTCGAGGAAGGTAAACAAAGTGGTCAGCATCCGTGACGAGGGCGTCACGAGGTTGGGTGAGAGAAAATATCACGGACCTAAAGAGGAGTCTTGAATCATACATCAAACATAAAAGAATGGTTACTGGGATAGGGATTCACACCGCCTTCTTTTTGTGAGGCGCACCATGGTGGTCAAGTTGATCTACGACACTGGATGAGTGGATACCCAGGTCCTGAAGCCAAGCGGGTCGGAGTTTAAGTCTTGACTCGTGACACTAGTACTTGAACCATTAGATTTTGCATTAGGGTTTTGATGAAATTTTGGTGGTAAAAATTAAATATTATTTTATTTGAATAGACGATGAAATTAATTATGATGAGATTAAAAATAATAATTTTATTATAATTATAATTATGATTAAAAAATATTATAATTGTGATTAAAAAGATTAATAAAAAATTTATACTGATTTGATTTTACTAAAATTAATATTTAAATTCGCTTAATTGCACAGCACCAAAAGTATAGTGAAATCCAAACAAAAACTAAGTGGCAAGCCTGTTAGCCAGTTGAAATCAGCACAATGAGCCATTGCAAGAGTTCATAGGAGGGCAAAACCCTTAAAGGGATCAGTGATTGGGTTAGAACCTACGCTCACGTACCTTTCTCAAATTTTCTTAGCCAATGGAAGGCATCAGGGCTACTCTTTGCATGCAAGGAAAACCACAGCATACTGGTTGTGCCAAAATGAAATGACAACCACAACAATAATAAACAAGCTACAAACTAAAATTTAAAGCACAAGATTAAGATCATTCTAACCAACTTTCGAATTTTTTTATTCTCTCAAACTGTTAAACATCATTGCAACATTGCCAATTTGCCATTGTCTTTCATGAACCTTACTTTCAAAGCTGCTATATCTTCCAATCATGCAGGCACATCAACATGGAAGTAATTTTTTTTGTTTTTCTAAAAAAAGAAAAGACCAATGTAAAACACCAAAGCCTTTGACACACGTCAACTTGTTAAAGTTTTGATTCTATTATCAGATGTTCAAATCTCTCTACAACAGCTAGCTTGGCAAACATACACTGTACTTACAGAAGAGGCTTAACCAATGTGAGATTAACAGTGTGAGGGCTGCTGGCGTCTGTACTTAAGACAAATAGCCAATAAATGCAGCCAAATTTTCTGCACAAGTAACCAATTACAGGCGATAGCTAAACTCACCTATGAGCTGTGATTACGATATAAAGCAGAGATTTAAATGGTGATTGCAATCACGTTTTTTATCGCGTCACGTTTATCATATTTTTGAATATAACGAAAATTATTATGATCACTACATTCATCGTGATCGCAATCGTAAATTTTTTTTTTGCATAATTTATATAAAATATAATAATTATAATTATAAAAACTCTTATTCAATGATTTTAAAAATAGTTTATGACACTTAATATATAAAAATTATAAATTAATATATAACACAATCAAAATATAATTTTTAATTTTAATTAATTTTTGTCTAACTTTTACAAAAAAATTTATAAAAAATTTTCATCTAAAATCTCTATATATATTATATTAAATTATTAATCCCTTAATTTTTTTAATTATAAACCTTCAATCTCTCTAATTAGATTTTATTTAAAAAAAATTTCAAAAATTAAAAATTTTCAAACTTATATTTTAATAAAATTTTCAAACCTATATTTTTTATTTTTTAGTTTTTAATCTTAGTAAGAGTAATAGATCATAAAATGTTAAATTTGTTAAATAATTTAATCTTTTTGATACATTAATTGATATAAATTTTTTTGTCACAAATAACTTTCAATAATTATATAATAAATATAATCTTCAATAATTACACAAAAATAACAAGAATTAATCTAATATAAAAAAATGACAACAATAAAATATCAAAACAACAAAAAAATATTAAAATTCAAATACAAAATTATAAATTAATATATAACACAATCAAAATATAATATTTAATTTTAATTATTTTTCATCTAACTTATACAAAAAAAATTTATCAAAATTTTTCATCTAAAATCTCTATATATATTATATTAAATTATTAATCTATTATTTTTTTAATTATAAATTTTTAAAACCTCTAATTAAATTTTATCTAAAAAAATTTCAAAAATTAATTACAAAATTAAATAAAAAATTCAACTCCCAACCCCCAACACCCCACCACACCTGATCCCTCCCACCCAATCCTTTCCCCATCCCCCTACACCCCACCCTACCCAATCCCTCCCCATCCCACCCAATCCCTCGTCACATGCGTATCTTAATGCCCCTCAAATGTTTAATTGTAGCACGATGTAGAACCATCTAGAACCAGCTTCTGTTCATTTTTTCCCGCGTCCAAAGTTTTGTTTTTTTAAAATTTTTTTTTTATCATCTCTCATTTTCTCTTGCATATTTTCATTATTATCACTTACTCAATACATCTCGTTTGTCTTTCTTAAGTCTTAAACTTTCACAACAGATTATTTTACAAAAATTTTACAAAAAAAAATAATTTAACTTTTTTTTTTACCTTATTTAATCTTGAATGTTGATTGAAAATTTGATGTTGATTTGAATTTGAGTGTCGAAATGCTGAATGGTTGAAACTTAAAATTTTATTTTTTTCTCGAACCATTAGATCTGTGTAAGAAAATAGAATAGCGGCAATAATAGTTCATTATTGCCGCTATTCTCCATTAAGATGTTATTTACGGCTATTACATTTCATTTTTATCGTGAATAAATTTTACAACTGTATTTTATTTAATAACGATAATGAGTGATGACGTTTCCACTATTTTATGACTGTTATTATGCTTTTAATCTGCTATTTGAATCCTTGTAAAGCTATAAATATAGACCTTTTGTCTATTAAATTAGTTCTTAAAATAAAAATATACTCTAACAACAAGAAAAGCATCAAATTCTGCGCTATCCAATCAGGCTAAGGCTACACCCCTTGCTCTAGAAAGTTACACACTTCTTTAATTAAACAAGTCATTTTGCAGACAGACTAAATCAAATCTGATTCCAACTTGAGTGATTTAAAAAAATAATGAAAGGAATCTTATCAAAGTTAGGCTATGGCCTAATTTAAACAGGAAACCATGAAAATGAATTAATTATTTAAAGAAGTTCCAACCATCCAGGGTTTTAACAGGTTCCATGTATTATGTGGATAAGTAGTTAGTGCCCATGCCCTTTTGTTTAATCCCTTATGGATGAACCCTATCTAATAATAAAGTTTGAAAACCTTGCTGCAAGTGAGTGAGAAAGGGTTTGTCCAGCTTTACATTTGTATTATTCTAGGCATCTTTTGCTGTGATAGGCACTAATCTTTATCTCAAATTATAAATTAAACTGTTATTAATTTTAAAGTCAAATAAAATGTCCTATGAGAATGTTTCTTGCTTTCGAAAAGAACGAATTCGATCGTGCTGCAGCTTTACAGTCTATAAAGATGCGTATTTCTTCAATTTAAGACGTAGAACCAAGATTATAAATTTTCGTAGTACTATATCATTATGAACACAAACGGATTTTCAACTTCATTATATGGCAGTTTTGTTCATTATGTAAGTTCATAGTATTGTTCTCTCCATGTAAAATGGTGTCTCTTGTTGAGGACTGCAAAAGGTTAAAAGGTATGGAAGCTTGCTCTAATCAAACTCTGAAAGTCTGAAGCTCAACAATACATGCTGACATGAACCAGAAAGAAAAAAGGATTTGATCACATGATTTAGCTCAGTTATTCATAAAGTCACCCTTAAAAAGTGGCATCAGCTTGCAAAACTAGCTGCAACAATAAGCTTAAAAATTCCCACATTGCCTTATTAACCAGTCTTTTAAATGTAAGTATCTGCCAAAATAGTACTCTATATATGGAGCATCAGTGGCCTCTTGTTAACTTCAACTTGAAGTGTTAGTATCTTAAGTTGACCAAACCTAACAAATTACTAAATTCATGAAAAGGAATTCTTTGTAGCCAAATAGAGTGACAAACCTAAATTTAACCAATAATGTGAGGTAATCAAACACTAAGTTTACGAATCTCTTAATTCTTTTCAGGTTCTCATTTCTAAAACATGCAAACATTTAAAAATATCCTCCATTAATTGTTTTGAATAGTACCTAAAGAATATTTCAAGGTAAAGATTAGTATATTTAGAGAGCAAAAAGGTTATAAACCCAGATTATCTGGGTAGAGTTGAAAGAAATTTATGGTGGTTGTGGGGGAGGGGGGACCATAGTAAGTCTTTTTAGGGTTTGATTTTTGTTTTTAGAACTTACAAATATTTTAGGAAGAATCTATGCAGAAAAAGCAATCTCGGTCACTTTTGCAAGAATTTTGTGTCACATTCCAATTCCATTTCAAGATAAAATTTAAACTCGTATTTGTAATACGTATTTTATAAGATAAAATTATAAAATTTTTAAGTTAAAATGAAAAATATTTCATAAATTAAGTACGAATCTCTACACTTTACTTATTCAATATATAACTCAAATAGCTTAAACTTATGGAATTACTTCAGTTTTTGCATAATCCAAAATGATTTAGAAGCATAATGCTGAACTCAATGTTAGTAAAGTACTTGCCATAAAATTTGTTTCGACATGGTTTTAATCGTAATGTGATGTTCATTTCAGCTAATGCTAAGGTGAAAAGTTTGAAGGTTTGTTGAGAAGTGGTCTGATCATATTTGCTAAGGCTAGCTAATTAAACAGTATTAATTAGGCACTTGTCAAAAACTCTCCCAAAATTGATTAGGATATATCGATTTACAAGTATATTACAAATTATTTTCCCATCGAAATAGTTGTGATGGTGATAAGTTGGTGGTGAACATGTTTGTTAAGTATAAAAATTTTGTCACATATATGGTACATTCATTTTTAATTTTATTATGCAAATGCATGCACATAGATGTATAAAAAGAAATAAAGTTGAGACAATTAATATCAAAATTGTGACATTTGATATTATAAAATGATGCTTGTACCAAAATTTTGACTAACTTTTTGATGATAATCAAGTGGGTGCAATACGTGTGATCGTTTGTGAAACTGTCATATCATCGGAAGATATACATAGACGCATATATAATAAGAAGGCTTGTAGATCAGAAAGAACTACGTGTCCAGGCTTGAGAGGATCGAGTTCACCATCTGATCAGTTCCAAATATGGTTGATGAACCAGATCGATTGCTTCCAATTGCCAACGTGGGTCGGATTATGAAACAAATCCTGCCACCAAGTGCCAAGATTTCAAAAGAGGCTAAACAAACAATGCAAGATTGCGCAACTGAGTTTATAAGCTTTGTCACTGGGGAGGCATCTGACAAGTGTCACAAAGAGAATCGCAAAACTGTGAACGGAGATGACATCTGTTGGGCTTTGGGTGCTCTAGGGTTAGACAACTATGCTGAGGCTATAGTAAGGTATTTACATAAATATAGGGAGGCTGAAAGGGAGAAAGCAAGCAGCCGAAACAAAGCAACCTGCCGAAGCTCTCCTGAAAAAGATGAAAAATCATCAGAGGATAAAAGTGGCCAACCACCTCAACAAACTGAAGCTCCAACTGCAAGACTAGCCAGCTAGAGTTTAGTGTTAACAAGGGAGACAAGTCTTGAACATATATAGTATTATTGTCTGGTTCTTGGTGAAGATTTTGCCATTTGAATTGAGCTATGGTGAATTGGTGAGATTTGAATGAGCAAGATTCAAGGACAGGTTGTAATCAATAGTAAAAGATTTCGATCTCTCTAGCTATGATTGTGTGAACTAAGTAGTCACTATACACTAAGGTAACTTTGTATCTTGAATATTCAAGCCAAAATTTCTTTCCCCTCTTAACTCTTTCCCTCCCCCTTTCTCTCTCCCTCATTCCCCACATTTTGCTGCCAAGAGAAACTTCTGTGAAGTTAATCATAAAATAAATAATATATATCATGACCAGTATTTTCCTTGGCCATATTTTTCTAGCTAGATATGATACTTTAGAGGAGTTTAATGGTGGTTTTCTGAACTTTGAATTTGATGCTATTAAAGTTTAAGCTTAGTGCTTAGAGGAGACTACTCCTGAATATCATAAGTCATTGGATTGTCCATGAACATGTCACATGCTACAATATTTGATATATAAAAGATAGATTAGAGTAAGAAATGAGATTTCTTTCAATTGATTGGAATCTTATAGCAACTGTTTTTCTCTATTTAGAGTTTCCTCCAACAAGCCAGACACATGAGAACCCTTTAAGAATGTAATTATATATTGTATATATATTATTTGTAGAATTTGTCAGATTATAATTTTCTTATAACCAGTAAACTCCAATAAAGAATGCTGATTTTCCTACTGTTGTTTTGAATGGTGCACATCATAAGTAGTAGAAGTAGCCAATCACAGTTTCCACTCAGGTTTAGGGTTTCCTATTAAAGTACCATTTGAAAGATAAAGTTAATGGTTGAATATATGTTGATGTAGATGTCGACACCATTTACAATTGTGTTCAGCTGTTTGACTACTCGTAGACTTCACTAACCTATCCAGGGCTCTTTAGGTGGAAAATGTGGCTAAACATCAAGCATTCTTTACCGAAAGTGTCAACAATCAGGCTCAAAACTGCATATCAATATCAGTTCATCAATTTGGGGTTCTTATTCCTTCCAAAGAGGGAGAAACAAAGGAAAAAGGAAAAGAAAGAAATAAAAGATATCTAAAAGAAAAAGAAAAAGCAAGAGCATGATCAGATCAAATAAACCACTACTGCAGCTTCCAAAGTCCCCCTATTTCCTTATTCGAGGACAGAAAAGATTGGTGCAAGTTACAGAAAAGAAAGTTGCAAGTACTTTCTCCTCTTAGTGAAAACGTGCAGCTCTGGCACTCATTCCCATTTCCTAATTTCCATTCTAAACTTGAAACAACAAATACCCTTTCTGGATCTTTGTGTTAGCAAGCACTGTTACCATGTTCCACATAAATTTCCAGCAAAAGAAGAGTCAAAGTACAGGCTAAACTATACTAGGTTAAGGGTTTCCCAAACCCTAGAAACGGGGACCACTGTAACTGTTGCTTCACAATGCATGAGTAATCGTGAAAATGCAATTTGAATCTTCAGGCATGCTTTTTTTTTTTTTAACTATATCTGCCATGGTTCAGGCTATCTTCACGTTAAAGATGTTGCTCAAACTCTAATTAATAAAACAAGAATATCTGTCAAGGGTAGGGCATAAAAACCTAGGGCTTCTGTAAGCTCCAAGGGGACCACTTCTCAACTATGGTATGTTTCCCCTCTCTTTCCATCCAATAGAACGATAAGCTGTACTTCATAGAAAAGGGATGAAATTAAAGAAATTCCAACTCAAAATGTCTCCCCTTCAAAGGAGAAAGAACAATAATAGATAAATTAGGTAGTACAGGAGAAAAAAGCTGATTAAACCTCGAACTTTTTGCACCAACCATAACCAATCCAGTATTCTGCTTGATCGTTTCTTCATATAGTGATTTTGAAAACATCAAAATTTTGAGTATAACTATACCAATGTACTAATATGCAGAGGTATTCTTGATAGGATGATTTTGAAAACCTTAAAACTCTGGGACCAACTATATCAATGCGGTACTAAGTAAAGTTTTCTTGATAGAATGATTTAAGGATAAATGTTGCTGCTGCTGGCTCCGACCACGGAATTGCGCTGTATTGAGCTCCATAACCGGAGCAGCCTGCATCCCTTGTCGGCGAGCACCGACCGGAACTTTGGCAATGGTGAACTCCAATAAATTAAAGCAATATGGCATTGTAATTGCATTTGGTGCGCCCATTTTTGAGGACAGAAGGCAAGAGGATCATGAACTGTCCATGTGAGCTTCAGCAAATCTGCATAAGGAAGTCGACATTGTTGCAAATTGCAATGAGCCTTAAGATACGTAGCAAGAGATGCATTGACCTTATTAAAAATTGAAATAATTTGTGATCAACTAGAAAATGCCGAAGACCCAGAACAAAGTTGATGCATGTAATGATATAAGAATGGTTTGAGAAATGTGCATGCATCGATATATTTAATGCTCCATGCACAACAAGAGCATTTCTAGGCTACCATGAAACAAATGTCTTTGTTTGAATACTTTGAAACTTCTTTTGCTTTGAATTTTATCAATACAACTTTTGGATCTCTCCCCATATATCTAGTAGAGCATTTGAAGCAGCAGAAAACAATGTGTAACTTTCAGTCAAAAACTAAGGACAAGCAATCTTAACCTTGCTTCTATTTTGGTTAAGGCAAAGAACAGTTTGAACCTTTTTTTTTTTTTACCCTCTATGACATCTTGGTGAATAATAACTGGCTTCTAGTTTAACTAGGTCCTGGTTCCTGACAGAATGATTGCCAGTAACTTAAAGATAATTAATGAAGATAAAGCTTTTATATGACTCAATATTCTACCACCATTGAAGAGTTTACTTAATCAGTAACTTACTCAAAATAATCATCTACCAAATATGCATTTAGATTTTGCAATCCTAAAGCTCAATATATAGGAAGTATGCAAAATAGTAATCACCCTTTGCTCAGTATACATGCTGCATCACAAGATTAATTGCATTCATTGTGTTCAACAATCAGTGCTTTTCTTTTCTCTAAGCATATTTTCACTCTTGTTTTTCCTATTAATTTTTGTTTTATTGGTTGTTTTGATATGTCAGATAAAAATTATGATATAAATAATAAAATTTATATTTGATGCACTATCAATATATATATTCTATACGCTATCAGTAAATTAAATTATGACACTTCATTAACTAGCAAATATCAATCCTTAAAATAAATATACAAAAAATTAAATTTTAAAAAAATTATCATTAATGAAATGGTATTATTTGATTCACTTCATTATCGAGATAATATCATCCGATTGATTCATAGTGTATAAAGTTTATACATTTATATACTGATAGTATATCAAATATAAACTCATAGGTTATCTATTTTGTAATTTAATTAATTATCCTTATAAAAGCAAAGGTGCATGTGCTAAGGCCTATGAAGTCCATTAGAGCAACAGATTACCAAAACCCATGAGTAACCGTAACCCACCAACCTAAACCATTATAAAGAAAGGCAAACTATTGGACCAGAGAGCCCAAAACCCAACTTTTCTTGACTGAAGATTCAACTTTTATTAACTGAAGAATGGGTCAAGCTGGTGCTAGCTAAACTAAATAAACCAGGAGTCTGAGCCCAAGACTGTTCGTCCAAGCCCACTTCTTTTTAGATGGTGTTGGCAAATCTATTGGTTTTGGCACCAGGTGAACCACTGGGCCACCATCTCATGTTTTGTGTCTTGGGCTAAGCTGGCTAAGTTCCGTTTGACTCAGCCCAAAACAAGAATTGTTGGTAACCAACTTTGGACTTAATTCAGTTAATGCCTTTCTGCAGCCCAATTCCTTTGGGCTTCATAGAGCACTCTTGGTTATGAAACTCTAGATTGAACTGAGATGAGGAGAAGGAAACCCCAGAGAAAAGAACACATTTCTTTACTTTTTTTTATTTTTTTGTTTCATAAATCATGCATGAACCCATTCCTTCCACAAGAATTTTCCTCACATTCAATATGCTAATGACTAATGACATAAGGAAGCAGTTGAAAAGAAACCATATTTTTTTATTACGCGATAAGGGGTTCTTAGGTTTTATTCAGTACATCTTCGGTCTAAGCAAGCTTAGCTATGCCTGTGAAACATCTGGTATGATGAAGAACTCTCTCTTTACAAAACAGGTTTACCTAAAGAACAATTTGAAAATCACCAGATTCATCAACTAAAAAGAAATAATGGACACCTATATTTTTTTACCTTAAATATTCCAACTAGCAAGAGGAGCATGCACAAATCATTCGTGCAATTTTGGAGAGAATCAACTACTCCGATGGACATATAGAAGCTTCTAAAAATCCCCAACCATCATCAATATCTGGTCCTACCCAATAACCCATTATAACCATTCGAGTACAAGAACTTACATTCAAACTACATGGAACAATTTCATCAAAATGCTTTGACAGGGTAGTCAGATAATGTTCACTACTGACAGAAAATATGCCTTTGTTTGAGCTGCAGGGGGCCAGAAAATAAGATGCTGCAAGTACAAATTCGTAATATCAGGTTACAAAAGCACTCAACTAGCAAGGGAATTACTAAAACAAACACCCCATTCCAACATTTTACATGTTTTTGTTTATTGTTCTAAATCAAAGTAGTAATTCCAGTGACAGATTTTCTATTTCTACTTCTAAAAATGGGATTTAATTACTTGTACGCATTCGCATTCATCTTATGGATGTTGGTTTCATTTTCACCTTTAAGCAATATATTCTGAAATTCTCTTGGCAGAGTTACAGCTTATAATGAAACTCCAAAAGGAAAAATGTAGCATGCATTTTAACATGGGCTAATGATGATGAGATGGTGAGAGTAAATGAATGACAGCTGAAACTTGACCTTTTGATTCTAGTTCGAAATTTTTTACCTCATTAACAGTTTAATTTCACGATTTTATCCCAATCCACATGAACCTCAGCATTTGGAACGACTAAAAAATCAAGCCAAATCTATTGAGCTCAAGGCCTCAAGCTTCAATTCCATATACAGGAAGAAGAAATAGCTAAAACTAGACACAAAAATTTAAGTTTCATCAAACAAGCATTTGCACTTTTATGAATTCAAAAAGGAAGAAGTTCATTGGCAATTCAGCTCTCAAACAAAAACCACAGTCCATAATTAGCTGCATTTCTATAGTGACTAATTTGTAGGCTTTCTAGCCTAAACCCAACATCTGAATTCACTAAATTTTACACATTATGTTCATTACTAGCATAATCTTATAAAAATGACTGAGAATTACATAAAAAGAATCATGCTTTGAAGGTTCCTGAAGAATGGGGTCTGCAAGTAAAAAAAAAAACAAACAAACAAAGATAAGTAGAAAACTAACCTGTTTTGATGGTTGCCAGGCCTGGAAGTCTACAGAAAGCTGATTGCTTTGGATATCTACCCTGGATAAAAGTTAAACAAAAATCAGACAATTAACAAAGCAAATGAGATTTTTATTTTTTACAACAATTATTCGAGGGAGATAATTTTGAGGAAAGAAAGGGGTTTGGGGTTTCGAGGAGGGAGTTACCTTAAATGGGTTGTGAAAAGAACAGGGAGGAACTGAGAAGCTTAGAGAAACAAAGCACGCCATTGAAAGCTTCAGTTGAAGAATAATTAGTGAGGTTTCCGTCTTTAACGGATGAAGAAAAATGTTTCCAAGGAAGAACGAAGAAGTTCTTGAAACGACACCGTTGTTTTCAAATAATGAGTTCATGAAAGTTTCCCCTCCCTTTCTTGTTCTACAAACTTTTTTTTTTTCTATTTGGAAAATAATGAATTTTTTTTTCTTTTTGACAAATTGGAAATGTAAAAATTTGCTTTTCTTCAATGTAATAAAGATTAACACAGCATCTCCATGATGTTGTGTGGAGAATCATCTCCACCAGTTTGAGAGAAAAAATTACAAATAAATGGTCATATGTTGTCAAATTTTTTCTTCATGCCAGAATCCACTTTTAACTAGCACAAAAATGTTCCATCATGTGAAATCAGAGGCAGCCTCAGATCAAAAGGATTTAGCTTTCTTCAAGGGTCTGGTCACCATACAGAATATACTGATGTCTGGTACATGGACTCTACCATAATAAGCAATGAAACGGGTTGCTCGATGGCCCTGGTTCCCAGTGTGATAAGATTACTGCCTAGACTCTCGCATCAGAATGTGGTATCACGATAATCAGGACTCAAGACAAATCTTCAGAGGAGCTAAACCGAACTAATTACTTGATCAAACTAGGTAACTCCAATGTGCAAAGTGAAAACATGCAGTTAAGCAATAGCGGGTCAATTCTGAATTTCATTTGAACTCTTATGGGATTTGTGCCTTTTCTTCTCCCGCTTCTTACTGCTGTTACAAAACCAATGATCAGCATGAATCTTTATAAAAAGCAGGGTACAAAAACAAATAATCTCGTATCTGCACAGAACAAATTCTATGGAACATACTCATCATGCGAGCTGTGCCCCCAACAAGATTTCAGTTTCCGGTTGATGTGCTTCATATCCTTCTCTGTGGGGAACTTATATTTACTAACCTATAGATGTTGCCAGAAAAAATATAACAGTAAATCTGAATTGGATTGGTTACTTTATACAAGACGTTTATATCAAAAATCAAATCATGATAAAACTGTACCCAAGTATCTATAGAATTTAGAGATTCTATAAGCTGGGAAATGGTATGCTCCAAATTCTGGCGTGTAAGAATACTTTTAAGGTATCTGCGAAGGACACCAGTTGGCATAAATTGCTGAATATTAATTTATCATAATCCTAAGAGAACTTCATGAATTATGAAGTAGCTCATACCCCTCAAAGTTGAGAACTCTATGCTTCTCATTCGCACTGCGTAAAGCAGCCAGTGCCAACTGTAATATAGCAATAGACGAGCAAAGCCATGAGAATCATATTATAGGATGAATAGATCAAACATCAGACCCATGATCCAGATGTGACCAATTGCAAATGTGAAGATGAATAGCAGTTAGCACATGACAATAAGTATAGGAAGTTTACATTCATAATAGAAACACCAAAATCTGAGAGAGCTTTGTTATGGTGAAATTTTAACAAATTTATCATTCCATTCTAAGACTCCGTTTATTGTGGTGAACTTGATAAAAAAGAAATGATCCACAAACATAGAACCAATTTTTATGGAAAACCCAATTTAAGCTTCAAGAATAAGGCCTTTTACATATATTTTGTTCTTGTAGACTGTCAGTTGGGCTAAATAGGGTAAAAGATGCACTTAAAATGGAGTTTGAAATAGAAAGAACACCTGGCCAGGAGGAAATAGATGTGGAGCATCAGTAAGCATAATTTTGTCAACTTCCATCCTTGCAGTTTCTTGCAAATCCTATACAATATTAACACATCAAATAGATGCTTAGAATACACTTTAGGAAGATGAACTTATGCATTTATCATTTTTGGAGGCTAGATAATGCTGGCATTAGGTTATTGCCCTAGATATTGTTAAAGTCTGCATACCAAAGTTACATATGAGTTTGGGTCGGGTGAACCAAAACTTACAAGATACAAGCTGCATTGCATGTCAAACCAAAAACTGACACCTCTCCAGAAAATACGGGTAGGAATGGGACTAACAGCAGGCTATCAAACATAATATTACAGAAGACATTTAACAAATTTACCTTTAGGATTAGATTTTCTTCATCCTTTGCTCCACAGTATTCCTAGAGAACCAACACTTTTGTCATTAAATATTAGGGAAAAAAATGAATCAAATGGACTTAATCAGGGCCGAATAAAAATGGCAAAGGAATCATAAAAAAACTACCATCCTTTGTATCAAGTTAACCCAGATGCTCAACTCATGATTATATTGACTACAGACAAAAGAATTTCAAAAGCTGATTTTTATTTTTTTAACTGCTGAAATAAATAAGTATTTGAAAAAACAAATAAGGGGGAAAACAAATGATTTCCCCAAATAACAACTTAAAAAATTTGCTTGTAAAAATATTTTGCAACCATAGAGGAAACGAACAAGATGATAATGGCTAACTGAACCCACCTCCATGTCATTGACAAAACCTTCAACTGAACGATAGGGTGCATAAACAATGAGATCAAATTCCAGACTCTGCAAATCCAAATATGTGTTTTAAACAAACACAAGTAAAAAACAAGACTGAAATAACAACGAAGAAGAACAGCAGCCATACCTGATAAACAATCATCTCATAATTGAGAATCATTTGATGATCCTGTGAAATCCCCTTACCAAGCTCCTCTGCTGACACGTGATTTTCTTCTATCTTGCAGGCCGCATACACACAGGTTAACCTACAGATATAAAGAAAGCTTTTCAATTTAACAATTACAGTATTCTCAAAAAATAATTTGTATTCGCGGGTGATTATCGGTCAAAGGAATATATTATCCAGCTTTACATATCAAATGACAAAATCAGTGAGACGTGACAAATTCCAACAACACAACTTTCACTTGAACAAAATTAGCAACGGTAGGCGAGGGGGGGGGGTATGTCAACGGTATGTTGCTTTCCTGATATTTTCATAAATTTTTAAAATAGCCCGTGATCCATTTTTCTAACATCCTCTTAAGTGCATATCAAAATTCCTCATACAGCACAATATGTGCGGAGATAGCAAGTATAAGAGCATATATCTGAAATAGATGTAAAAGAATCATACATTATATGTTTTGGATGATGTTTCATGACTGACCATTGCAGGTTTTTACTCGTAAGCGCATATCAGAATTCCTCATAAAGCACAATATGTGCGGAGATAGCAAGCATAAGAGCATATATCTGAAATAGATGTAGAAGAATCATACATTATATGTTTTGGCTGATGTTCCATGACCGACCATTGCAAGTAAAACCTCTTGAAATAGATTAGAGCTGTTGCCTGCAAAACATGAACCAGAAACAGAAGCACATCTACTATGACCTCATCTTTATTCATAAGTATGACTGTCATTTAAAAAAAAGTAACAAGCACCTGAATTTTATTAGGAAAGTAGAATGCACTACAAACTTCTCGAAGTTTGTTCTCATAAAACACCCGCATGAATTGTTCCTCTTCAATGTTAAGTGGTTTCGGACGAGGATGCTTGTCAGCTGACACAAACAATCAAAATATCACATCTCACATGGTACGCTTCCTGTATATCAAATCAAGCACCTCATAATAAATGGAAAAAGAAAAAGAAAAGGCATTTACCATTATCTCTTGCAATAGATTCAGGATACGATAGTGAACCATCGGCATCTACTTCCATTTGTGTTGTTCCATACTTTAAAAGAAATAACCAAGTAAGCTTCAATCAAATGAACAATGCAAAGAAAATTCCCACTAGGGATGCTTTCAATAGTAGACATTTACAACAGACAACATTTGAATGCTGCTAATTGAAAGTAAAGAATGGAGTTCAACAGCAACTTCACCTAATCTAGTAAAACAATAACATGGAAACATACACAACAAACACACACACACAAGCGAAATGCAAAAACTCTGACATACCTTGTCCAGTGTTTGTATTGCTCTTTGATTAGCAGCCTTGTATTTCTCAACCTATTACCAAACAACGAAAACACAAAAGAATCTACTTTTAAATTTCATAAAGTTCTCCATGAATTGTAATTCCTACTTAACATTGAGAAAACAATAAAATTAAAAAGAAAAAAAACTTTTTGCTTTCTCATGTCATCTTCCTACATTAACAATAAGAAAATCAAGCACAGATATTACCAGTTCTTGAGGAGAGAAGATCCACTTGGCTTTGTGAGTCGATGTCTGAAAATCCGCCATGAAGACTCGCCAACTCGGTAGCCCTGACTCAGCAATTCGATCGCAGTTATGGAAAGCTTTTACGGACTCTACAGCCAACTTTTCAAGCTTAAAGCCGTAAATTCTTCGGATTCGATCGCAGACCTTTACAATTATCAGCCCATTCCCAGCTCTTGTCCTTAACACTTATCCTGCTGAGATCGGTCAATGAGGCCCAGAAAAACAAGATCTGATTGGGCCATCATGTCTTCTAGGTCGGGTCTGGCATGATTGACAGTGAGCCGAACTTTCCTACTGATGGGCAATGAGAAATTCAAAAATTTTTAACTTTAAAATATTATCACCAAATTTTAAAATATTTTTTACATATATCTAAAGAGAAGTGCATTAACTCAATAATACTAATAATTTATGAGATAATTTTTTAAAAATATATATTTAATGTTCCATAAAATTGAAAGTTGAAACCGTTATGATATATTTTTTTAATTACATAATAAGAGATTTTTAGATTTTATTTAGTTTATTTCTTTTCTGAATTGATTTTAATAAAATTATTTATGTCGATTTTAGTAAATTTGTAAAAATCTCCTTTAATGGGTTCGAACAAAAATAATTAAGAAATAAATAAATTATTTTATCATTTAAGTCAACATTCGTTTGTATTTTATTATCTTTATTTTTTAATAATATTGATACACGTTTAAGGATTTATTTACATTTCATTGGAAGATGAGGCTACTAAATTATTAGTATATAAGATAAGATTCAAGCCATTAAAAATATTTGGCATTGTTTGATAAAATAATGTTATTCCATTTGCAATTATGCCAAGTTGTGTTATTCCTTTATGCACACTAAATTCATTTATAAATCATGAATCTTACCACTTAATTTTGAAAGACATAAAGAGGATTCCTAAAAAAAAAAAAAAAATCATAAAAAGAGATATCAAAATATGTTGAATAATGAATATGGTAGTATTCTCTTTGTATAAGAAAATTGAAGAAAATAATTTTATTTTTTAGAAATTGTTTGATAGGAAAATTGAAGTTATTTGTGTATTTGACATTCAAAAATCAAAAGTCAAATGTGAAATTATACATAGGTTGATCAAAGATAATGTGAAAATCTTTAATTTGCATAGTAATTTGAAAATTAAAAGGAAATTTGAGGGATAAGGTAAAAAATTAAATGACAAAATTAACCTTACCATAAAAAAACAACATAGAAATATATAATTATATTAGGTAAAAACATAAAAAAATTCTAAACTATTTTACTTTATAAATCAGTCTTTATATTTTTATTATATCAAAATAAATTTTTATTTTTTAATTTATATTTATATAAATCTTTTTTATTAAAAATTTGTTTATGTATAAATTAAAAGTTAAGATTTGGTTGGATATAAATTAAAATTAATGATTTATTTAAGTGAAAATAAAAAATGTAAGATTCATTTTAATGAAAAAAATATAAAAATTTAAAGTTTTTTTTATATATTTTAACCAATTATATTTAAATTAAAAAAATAAATATATAAAACAAAGCAATTAAATATACTTTTTTTATGCAATATTTTAAAATATCTTTTTAATACTAATAAGGAATGCCACCTCAGCAGTGTAATCACTCACTCTCAAGAGTGAAAAGCTGGCACTTTTCCTTCACCTTTATAAAACTGTCTGTACCAACAGAAAAATCTCCCACCAGAACAAGAAAAATCAGGTGAAAAAAATTTTATTATTCATTTCTTAGTAATCTTTCAATTTTCATGTTTTAATCGTCTAATGTTTGATATTTTTATTAAGGGTCTTTTCAGGGTTTTATTTTTCTGCTTATTTACAGAGGAATATGGTGTATTTGCTACCTTTCAGGGTTTGATTTTTTTATAGAATTTAGTGCTTTGGTTCGTGGTTTTTTTAAATAAATGTTATGTTTTTCTTGATGAAATTTGTTGGGTGTTTGATATTTTTGGTTTGGGTATTTTTCAATTAGTATTTTTCGTTAGCTAAAACTGTTGCCGAAGATGTTTTGCAAGTGTATTTTCTTGTCAATGTTTTTTACTTGCTTATTGCTGGCTTGTTTAGGAAATTGAGTGTTTGATGAGATTTGGGAAGTGAAAATTTTGATCTTATGCCATGAACTCTTTATGGTTGATTCAGTTGTTGGTTCTTGTAATTTCTCAAAAAATTTCTTATTCTATAGTTTGGCTTAGCTGAAATGGTGGAAAAGGAAGGATATTTGATTTTGAAGTTTCATGCTTTTATGTTGTTCTGGTTTTTTGATAAGCAAATAAACCTCAGTTTAAAATTGAGTGACATTTTCTGTAAATAAGATTTACGTAATTGAGATTCATGTGTTAATTTTTTTGTTCTTACCTATGTTTTTCTATTAATGAATGATCCGTATAAAATATGATCCTTGTTCATTGATTTTCATTATTCATTGCTTGTGGATTATGTCTTTGCATATGAGAAATCATATAAATTAGTTGAAACTGCCACTTCTAGTGCTTTCAGTGAATTGTATTATTCTATGTTGGTTAGTGTAATGTGTCAATGATAGTCGTGCAGATATTTGTGAAGTTAAGACACGAAGAAGAGAAACATGATTCTTAAGTACATACCACTAGATGAAGGAATGATGATAATGGATGAGGCGATCGTGAAGGCGAAGAAGATTGTTGAAGGGTACCCTGAAACAAAATTCTCTGGAGAAGAATATCAGAGGTTCTATGAGTATCCTTTGTTTTATAGAAGGGTTTACTTCAGTTAAATTAGCTTTCTTCACCATCATCCTACACAGCCTTGGTTAGTGTTATTAACAAAAAAATGCTATCCTTCACAATTTTGGTAGATGTGTTTATTTCATGTGCACCTACCATAGCTCTAATGAGAAAACAATGCAGCTTTATGAGAAATTTAGAAACAGCTTGGAAGAGAGCATCTTTTCAACGGTGAGACATTTGAGATGTCTTGAGATCTAAATCTCAAATTTTGTTTAAATTCTCCTAGAGTCAAATTTATTTTGTACTTATTCATTAAGCATAGTATATTGCTGCATTTCCGTTGTTTTTCTTTGTCAGTTGTACATATATGCACTACTTATATCATACTTGTTTTTTCTTTAGTTTGTTCTGTTGCATTATGAAGTCCTTTCTTTAGTTAGTTTTTATATTAGCTTTCTGCAAGCTTGCCTATGTGGTACTTTTATTCCCCATAAGGACCTTTTTTTAAATTGCTGAGTTGTAGAACCTCAATCTGGATGTACACCAAACTGCTGATAGATGCTACATCAATTTATGCCTTTTCTTTTCCTTTTTGCTTTCAGGTACAGCCAACCTTGATGAATAAACAAGGTGCAAATTTGTTGAGAGAATTCGGAATAATGTGGTCTAATTATAAGCTGATGGCAAGATGGTTATGTAGATTCTTTGAATACCTTGATCGCTTCTTTATCCCTCAACATATTGAGCTTGAGTCACTAAATGGCATCTCATTTAGTTGCTTCAGGGATCTGGTAGGTGACAATTATTTATTCTTAGGACACTTTACCTTTTTTTTTTTTTTCTTGCGTAATTTATGTTTGCTTTATTCCATGAAAAGGTTTTGAAGTAATTGCTATTCTTTTGGGTCTAATATAAATTTCAGGTCTTCAAGAAGTTATATTGTAGACTCGTTGAGGCAACATTGACTTTGGTAATTCCCATGTGTTTGCTTACCCTATATTTATTTCCTTCTTAGTGGAATTTGGCTCGGTTGAGTTTTAAATGCAGATCAATCAGGAGCGTGATGGACTACAGATTGACTGGTTCCTGCTGAAGAATGTCTTAGATATTTTTGTGGAAATTAGTGACTATAGAGGGGTTAACTATTATGAAGATTTTGAGAAGATCATACTTACTGAAATCTCTGGTTACTACTCTCGATTAGCTTCAGAGTGGCTTCTGTATGATTCGTCGGCTGAATATGTTCAAAAGGTGTTTTGTTGTCAAATTATTACCTTTTGTTTATACATTGAAATGTTATTGACAATATATAACCAGTATATGGTCCCTTAAACTTTTCAGGTTTTCTGGTGCTTGAATCGGGAGAAGCAAAGAGCTAGTCAGTACCTACATCCTGACACAGAAGTTAAGATAGTGCAGGTATACGGTCATTAAGAATTTTTTCCTCTTTTTATTGGCTATATCTGACTTCTAAATGAAATGCTGACCTGTAAACTTAATGTGTTTGGCTGGAGCTTCTGGCTGTATTCATGGTATCAAAATAAACCTCATGCTTCAGCATGTTTGACAATGGTGTAAGCCATGTTGAATAATCAAGCTTTACCAAGCTACGAATTTGTGCTCTTTTTTCTACGTTTCAATGTTTAGTATTTTGGAAGATGATCATTCTCTTTTTATACTTGAATGTCAATTCATACTTGTTATGGCAGTTGGCAAGTTTACGTGACAACTGAATTTATTTGAAAGTTACTTGATTAACTTGGGCTCTCCATTTGGTAACTGATCTTCTGAAGATGGAAATGTTATAATAGAAATTACATTTCTCAGAGAACAGATAATGTTACTTACATAGCATTTGAAATTGGGAGAAATGTCAGTAACTCTATCTTCTATGGTTTCTTCAGGTTGTCAGATATCAGTTGCTGGATCAAATTGCAAACAAATTGATGGAAAAAAAGCAAGCTGAGAATTCTGGCGTGGTGACAGATTATCAGGTACCAATAAATCTGCAAATAACTTTATCATTGTTGCATTTGTCTACCCTATTATAGTGGTATTGTAATACTTGTGAGTGCACATATTTGCTCCAGATCCAGTTAGTGGTCTTTGGCAAGGCAATCTCTGGGATCTTCTCATCATATGGTGGGTTTGAAACTGGAAGTTTCATGGTCTTGGGCATTATCATATGATTTTTATGAAGTTTATGTGGGCTTAAGTTTGGATTCTTTGACCTACTGCTTTCCTTTGCAATGTTGGTCTCCAGGATATCCCAAGCTGAATGGTTGACCAAAACTAATGATGTGTGTTTAAGTTTAGTTTGTGAGATTGCCACATTCTATTTAGTGTGCTGAATTATCATGAAGTCAAAGAACCATGGACACCTTGCTTAAAAAAGTGAAAAATGTGGGTAAATAGTGATAGTATCATAATGATAGGACCTGATGGGCTTCCTTTGAATGGATTTGCTAGTGAAACACAATCAAAGTTTTAGGAAGAAAAAGAAATTTCAAGCTGACATTATTTTTCCTCATTGATTAAGGCCCTGCCAGAAGCTGATTATCCTTTTGATGCATGGCATTTATGGATTCTTTGTAGGAAATATTGTCCAAATGTGCTGGCATGACCCTTCAAGAGGGAAGCTCTTCAACATCACCAGAAGAATGGCTGTCGAAGTTAATGGCAAGTTCAGCACATATATGCTAATTTCATGTTGAAAGCTTTGTCAACAGATGTTTGTACAAATTACTCTGATAAAAATATAGTGACCAATAGCAGAGCTAGTGCTTCAACCTCTTTCATTTTGTTCTTCTAAAGGCAAAATTGAGCTTCATCTGTTCAGTAGTTGATTAGTTGAATGAAATTGAGACCGGAGGCCCTTTTCATTTGCTGTATGTAACCAAAAGTAATGTTTTTGTTGAGATTTTATAAGCTGAGGGAAAAGTTAACTATGCATTGAGAATGTGTAATGACAAGTTGTTGGCCATCCCATTATTTCACAGCAGGGCAAGATTTCCAACTCATCCAGATTGAAAATTTGCATATTATTAATGCATAGTGACTATTATTTGAATCCAGAATGCAATTTTTGCACGTCCATAAGAAATTCTAACCTATATATAACGACAAACCGTAGAATATTGCATGATCTATACTTGAAATAAAGGAGAAAAGAGGAATTTCCATTGAGTCAACTTAAGGCAAGTTCAAGGAAGCTGGCTAGCCTTTGTGACGGAAAACTCCTTTTCAGCCGAATATGTCTGTTGACCTGTAAGACTTCTGTATTTGCAAGCAACAAAAATTGCTGCAGGTTTTCATTGCATCAAGTTTGGTTCAATTTGCAAGATTATTTCTGAGTTCTTGGATCTTCTGCTTCCTTTATCTTGGTTTTGTATCCAAAATCCTCTGGTGCATTTTTTTTCCCTTGTCTTTTCGTTTTTATATTTTGAGCTTTGTTATTTCACTTTTATCTGTTCAATGCATCTTATGCTTTTTGAATAATTTTTTTTTTTTAAATTTTTCACTATCTACTATCTTTTAAATGAATCATAAGATATTGACAACCAGCAAAGATTAAAAAAAAAAACCAAACTCAATCAAAATCTTCACAGAGGATAGCCGGTGCTTAAATGACATGAACTAATCTGCATCAAGATGAAACGTAGTTTTACCTTTATATGATCATGATACTGTAATTTGTACATACTTCTTTTCTATCCTGTTTGTATAACAATTAATATAAGGTTCCATTTTAGGCAAGATGTTTGCATGTTTGAAAGTGAAGAGGCAAGAAGGTAAAAATCAGACACTTTTCACAAAAAATGGAGGGGTTTTATTAGAGGAGCTGGTTGCCTTCTCTAATGGGAGATCTAATCCTATCCGTCATTTCTCTGCAAAAGAGCTTTTAAGAGCAACAAACTACTATGATACGCACCAGATTTTAGTGGAAGACGGTGGTTATGAATTGTACAAAGGTTCTCTAAAGGACCGTCCAGTTATCGTGAAGAAGTATGACAAAGACAATTCACTTTTGAAATTTGCAGCCATGCCTTACAATGATATTGTCATTGGGTCACAAATGAGTGTTCACATGAATGTTTTAAAGGTTTTAGGATGCTGCTTGGAGACCGAAAACCCAACTATAGTATATGAATTTGCTGGTACAAAACGCCTCTCCACATGTATCTCTGCTACTAATAATGTTGAGCCACTAACATGGAAATGCAGGTTGAAAATTGCAATAGATTTAGCTAATGCAATTGCGTATCTCCACACTGCATTTTCTAGACCAGTTATTCGTCGCGATATTAAATCTTCAAATATCATATTGGATCAGAACAATGTTCCCAAAATGACTGATTTCGGACTATCTATATCTATTCCAGAAGGCCAAACACATGTCATGGATGCCGTTTTAGGTAGAACAGGGTATAGTGCACCGGAATATTGTGCTAGAGGTTATTTAACAGAGAAGGTTGATGTTTATCAATTAGGAATGCTTCTATTTGAGCTTTTAAGTGGACAGACTCCATCATTTTACTTATTTACAGAGCGTAATATACTGGATAGTGCGAATCACTCTGTTGAAAAGCTCAGCAATGTCGTCGATCCAAGAATAAAAAATGAAGGAATCGAGACAGAGCAGTTGCTGGATTTTGTAACACTTCTCCTCGGATGCATCTCTGATGATGGAGAAGAAAGGCCAACAATGATCGAGGTGGCCAAAGAACTCAGGCGAATTGATCAGTCTTTTCCATTACCTTGTTAGCCTAGCCCCATCCGATTTTATTTTTTCTCGGTAGCTGAACTGGTTCTCTAAGCCATTGATTTATGATGAAATTTAGCCTGCCTGTATGGTTCTGTAGTTATAACAAATGGGACAATGTCAATTAAGTCAAACAAATGTACGGTTATGATTTTAGCATTTTATTATGAAAATTCATTAGTTTACCAACTTTAAATCTGTTTGAATAGAGATAACAATTTCAGCTGAAGCAGCTCCAGAAACCTGTTATGGTAATAAAATTTCCTTTGTTGGAATTCTCATCTGATTGAAAGTAGGATGCAGCAAGGTTCCAATTGTATGTTGAATTTTGAACTTGCATTTATTAACGGATTTCTAGGAAAGATTTTTCCATTTTGATGATCTTTATACAAATGTGTCAATGCAGGAAACATGTTAATTATTTAACCATTTGCTTTGAGCTTGCAGAAAATAACTCCTTATCCTTTCTAGCATCTTGATTTTGTAGTTCTTTTGGCACGTTTTCATCAGTGCTGCTGTTCAATGGCAAAATAAACCATCAGCCTAGTAAACAATCAAGTACTAGGCCATCTCAGAAATTACTTTGGTATGAAAGTTAATTCTGATTTTACATCAGTTTTTGAATCTATAAATAATTGGACTAAAAAGAGAAAAGAGGAGATTTCCATTGAATCAATTTGTTTACTTAATGCCATCACATTGTGTTTCATGTAAATGAAATTTTAGAACAAAAAGATTTTTTCATATACAAAAGAGATCACTGAAAATAAAGAAAGAGGTTGCATATGCTAAAATTCGAATCCCAGTTGGATGCCACCACTTAAGAATGAATGCATGATCTAAGCTCCGAGTTCATAGAACAAGAAGATTTAATTTCAAACCAAATTAACCTTAGTTTCATTTCCTAGTTTTCAATCTGTTGTATACTATAATCAAGTTATGCAATTATTGAAGAGAAAGTTCAAGGAAGTGGTCTAGCCTATAGGATGAAAATTTCCTGTAGGGCTACCTTACCTCCCGACTTTAACTCAAAAAAAATTAATCTTTGCTAGTATCACTTTAATACAATTACCTGAGAGAAGTTCCAGGAAGCTGCCTAGCCTCTATGAATTCAAAGCTTACCTCATGACTTTGCATTTTCTTCTTAAATAATCAAACTATTGGTGGATCTTTTCTGTTGATCCCTACGACTTAAACTGCTGCAGGTTTTGCTTGCTCCTAATTTGTTCAATTTTGCAGATATTGCTCTGAGTTCTTGGACTCACACTTCCTGATTTAGTATTGAAAATTCCCAGGTGCATTTTTCTTTTTTCCATTCATGTTCTCATTTTTTTTATCCTGCATGTTCCTTCACCTTTATCAGTTCAATCCATCACATAATTTTACCATTTTTTAATGATTTTTTTTCTCATTTTAGACCAATGTTCATATTTCAAGTAACCTTGATTATCTTAATCCAATTTTATACTGACTAGTTGGTTTTTTTTTTCTCCAAAGAAAAAAATTTTCTTTGTTTCTATTCAGCTGTTCTAGTCCTGCTGGGTGCCTAATTGTAGTTTTTTTTGCTCTAGTTTACTCTGTACGTTATGGACTAACTTTTGTGAATTAAGGTTCTAGATTCTTAAAGGGGGTCTGTTAAATTTTAAAAAGGTCGTCAATGGGACTTTTTCCTTATCAAGACCCTTTGGAGCTTGGAACAAGTCTTGCTACGAAAGAGTAGTGGATTATAACGAATTAACTCAGACAAAATCTATATTAAAAACAAGAAAAAAAAACAACTCAAGCAAATCTTTGAATAGGATGTTCATCCTCAAATGAAGTGAACTAATGATTATGAGAGTGAGGATGTCAGGTTAACTTTCTTGTGTATGTGTGTGTGTGTGTGTGTGTTTTTTTTTTTTTATAGATAGATGTTTCAAACTCTTTGGTTTCCAACTACATATTCTCAGGTGGAACATAAATGTTCTGATAGCTTCTGGTTAGCTTTATTCCTACGCTTCAAACTGAAAATTATAGTTTTTTGCTTTCCAGTGTCAACAAAAGGAAAAAAAGAACAACGGAAATAATAGGTTATCCCAGATTTAAAGCAAATATATATTTACAATATTGCAATCTGTTTCATCATTTTTTTTCAATCAACTTTCTTTTACCTTTTCATGAGCTTGTACATTACATGGTACATACTTCTTTACTATCCTGTTTGTAATTTATATAATGTTCAAGTGTCAGGAAAGATGATTTCATGTTTCAAAGTGAAGAGACATGACAAAGATGAGATTGAAGAAGGTGATCAGACATTTTTCACAAAAAATGGAGGGGTTTTATTAGAGGAGCTTATTGCCTTCTGTAATGGCAAATCTAACCCTATCCGTCATTTCTCTGCAAAATAGCTTCTTATAGCAACAAACTACTATCATCAATGCCAGATTTTTGTGGAAGATGATGCTTATCAATTGTACAAAGGGTCCCTGAAGGACCGTCCAATTGTTGTGAAGAAATATGGGTATGACCAATATCCATCGAGTATAATTCCAGCCATAGGCAACCCTTACAAAGATATTGCCATCGGATCACAAATGAGTGCTCACAACAATGTTTTAAAGGTTTTAGGATGTTGCTTGGAGACCCATAAACCAACTGTAGTATATGAATTTGTTGGAACAAAAAGCCTCTCCACATGTTGTTAGGAAAATGGGGTCCAGTCCCATGTAAGTGGTTTTGGACCAAGTAAAGGCCATGAGCCTTGATCTTTTATTTTACACAGAGCCCTAGCTACTTAATAAAAAAGAGGTGGGGTTGTTTTATGTGTGTGTCGACAACCAAGCAGAGAAAGAAGAAAAGCCAGGAAAAGCAGAGAGAGAAAAAGGAGAAGGGAGAGTTGGTTAAACGGAAGTCGATACGTGGTCCGATTGAGTTGGAACCTTGTCAGGAGGTTTATGATTCAGAGTTATACATTCTGAACGGTGAAGATCGGGTTTGAAGCTCTCTAGGAACAAATCCAGGGTGTATTTGTTGAGTCACTTATTTGGTGAGATTTCTCCAATTGTTTCTTTAGTTGTTGATTATCTCTAGTTTTAGCTAGAGAAGAACTTTGTATAACTATTATTTGATAGTGAAGATTTTTCTGGTGGCCCGTGGTTTTTCCCTCTACACTGGAGGGTTTTTCACGTAAATCTTGGTGTGCTTTATTTTTCCTGCGCATTTGATTATTGATTGTTGTCTATTGCTTCTGTATTGTTGTGATTATTGCTTCAGGCGCAACAAGTGGTATCAGAGCGAGAGTTATTTTGAGACATCGATATAGAAACAACCCAGGATAGAAGTAAATTCTGTTTGAGATCATGGAGGGTGATACAGGTTCCATGCTAAAATTGACAGCATCAAATTATTCAATTTGGAAGCCTATGATGGAGGATCATCTATACTGCAAAGATTTGTATGAGCCAGTATTGGGTGATTCGGCTAAACCAGCAGATATGAAAGATGAAAACTGGAAGAAGCTAGGTAGAAAGACGCTGGCTACAATCAAAAAATGGGTTGATATTAGCGTGTTCCATCATGTAGCGCAGGAGTCAGATGCTCACATTGTTTGGGAAAAATTGGCAGCATTGTATGAGAGAAAAATAGGTATGAATAAAGTTATGCTTGTTAAAAAGATTGCAACTTTACAGTACAGGGATGGACGATCTGTTACAGAGCACTTGAGTGATTTTCAAGATATATTTAATCGGATGACTACTATGGAGCTTAAAATGGATGATGAAATAAAGGCATTATTTCTTTTGGGTTCATTGCCAGACAGCTGGAATACTCTAGTTGTGACTGTTCTTAATTCAGCTCCTGATTATAAGGTGACATTGGAGATGGTAAAGGACAATATGCTTAATGAAGAAGCGAGGCGAAAAGATGTAGACCCTGGGAATCAAGCTCTGGTCACAGAGAACAGGGGTAGAAACATCGACAGAGGTCAGGACTCAAAAGGCAGTGGTAAGTCTAAACATAGATCCAAATCTAGAGGTAAAGTGAAGTGTTTCCATTGTGGTAAGGCGGGTCATATAAAATGAAATTGTAGAATCTTGAAGCAAGAGCGAAAAGATGAGAAAGGTAAGAGTTCAGATGATGGCAATGTTGCAGCAGTGAATTCAGATAGTGATTCAGTTACTTTGATTTGTACACATGGTGATTGTAATCATGTTAGTGATCCCGGCATTGAGTGGATAGTTGACACAGGAGCGGCATATCATTGTGTTCCTAAGAGAGAGTTGTTTACAACTTACAAAGCAGGAGACTTTGGTTGTACCAAGATGGGAAACAAGAGTGTCACAGATTGTTGGGATTGGTGATATTAGTGTACAAACTAGTACAGGCTGCATGTTGACTTTAAGGGATGTCAGACACATTCCAGATATGAGAATGAACTTGCTTGCTATTAATGTCCTTGATAAGGAGGGATATGAAAGCCGACAAAAGAATGGACAGTGGAAGCTTCTCAAAGGATCTATGGTAGTTGCAAGGGGAAAACTATGCTGCACAATGTATAAGACATGGATGCAATTGAACGGTAACCAGGTAAATACCGTTGAAAATGATGCTTCAGCAAACTTGTGGCACAGGAGGCTGGCACACATGAGTGAAAAAGGGTTACAAGTTTTGGCAAGGCACTCTCTCATTCCCTTTACCAAAGGTATGTATCTCGATTCATGTGATTATTGTTTGTTTGGTAAGCATCATAGAGTTTCTTTTCGTAAAAGTTCTCAGAGAAAAGAAAATAGATTGGAATTAATTTATTCTGACGTATGTGGTCCCATTGAGGTTGAGTCATTAGGTGGTAGCAGATATTTTGTTACTTTTATTGATGATGCTTCACGTAAGACTTGGGTGTATATGTTGAAATATAAAAGTCAGGTACTGCAGTATTTTCAAAAATTTCATGCCATGGTTGAAAGGATGACAGGGTTACCCTTGAAGTGTATTCGAACTGATAATGGTGGGGAATACACATCTAAAAGCTTTGAAGAGTATTGCTCAAAGCATGGGATCAGGCATGAGAGGACAGAACCTGGAACATCGCAGCATAATGGTATAGCTGAAAGAATGAATCGCACCATTGTGGAAAAAGTCAGATGTATGTTGAGGATGGCAAAATTACCAAAGCCATTCTGGGGTGAAGCAGTCAACACAGCTTGTTATTTACTTAACAGGTCACCATCAGTTCCTTTGGGCTTTGACATTCCAGAAAGAGTGTGGACAGGAAAAGATGCTTCATACTCTCACTTGAAAATTTTTGGGTGTAAAGCATTCATGCATGTGCCGAAAGAGCAGAGATCAAAGCTTGACAGTAAAGCTACACAGTGTGTGTTTGTAGGATATGGTGATGAGGAATTTGGCTACAGGGTATGGGATCCAGTAAAGAGAAAGACAGTCAGAAGCAGAGATATGGTCTTTCATGAAAAGGAAACCATAGTAGACCTTGAGAAAAATGAGAAGACTACACGAGTTACTGTTGAGTGTGATGTTTCAACACCGACAGAGATTTCACAGGAAAGAGCCACAGATGGTGAAAATGAGCCAGAAACAGAACTTGGGGATATGGATGAGCCAGTTACAGTTGGTGATGAGCCAGATGCTATTAGTTTTGAGCAGGGG